AAGAATCCCACTACGGCGACATTAAGAGGTAATTAGAATATGATCGACGCAGAAAGAAGTTAACGACGTAAAGGTAATAAGTGGAATGGATAGCCGAGGGACAGTCAGTTACGATAGGTGGGATTAGCATAATGCGCGGAACCAGTGATCGGACGCGGTATAGCTCGATTGTGGTTAGTTAATGGTCGCCGAGCAGTCATCATTCTCGAACGGTAATACGTTGCAATCGTTAAGGCCACCTTGGCGCATAAGCTAGCAGCTCGGTAGCGTATATAAATTATTATTGTTCGACCAACGAGGTGTATCGATGGGCGGTCGCAATGTTGTCTCGCGTTGACGCCCATGTCCACTGGATTTAATTCTAAACGCCTTTTTATCTGCACCACGTAGATCGCCATTGCTATTGTTGACGGTGACCACTGTGCACTCGCGATATTTGATAACGATAAGCTTACCGGTTTGGTAATGTCGATAACGGAAGAACGTTAAGCAACTATTCCCTTCTCCGGTTCAACTCGATGAAATTCGAAGAGGGTCATTGATCGCGAAGTCAAATTTTTGATCGATCAATTCTATGCCAAGTTTTCTGTGAAAATCAATTTGTCAAAATATTACCTTGTAAATTATCGTTGCATCGCATTCGATTAAACTTTGTACGCTGTATCCGGAACAAATAAATTATTGCAGACACGAAGTAACAAGAGTTGCCAGTATCGACAAATTCCCCTTTTGTAAGTTTTCTCTTCGGAAAACTTTCGATAGACAAACCTTGTTATTGCTTGTACACGTGTAGAACAGTGATTGAAGTTGTCCCTCGACGTCGGTCCACGAACCTGTTGAAGTAATGTCTCTCGCTCTCCAGGGAACGAGTAATGTATTTTGGGGAATACACGCTCGAAATTAGGTTAATAGCAACTTCTGTATGAAATCAAATTTTCGTACGCGTGACACAAAAACTTTGCGAAACAAATTTTCACCGATTTTACGAATATTTCGAAATCTAGAACGAACTAAAATCGCTAACGTGGACTAAGTTCTGAGCTGGCGTCATTCGATTACTTGCATCGCTTCACGATTAACCGAAGTAACTTTTGCCGCAATGTTCGAATTCCACGAAAGAGACGCCTCGATTCTCGCGTGTTTGCGGCAATTAGAGGAAGGTGTGACAGATACGAAGAGGTTTCGCCACGAAACGAGCAGAGTGGAAGGTGTGGAGCGTAACGCATGGCCGGCCATAAATTATCGGTCGATGCACCAGAATTAGTCGGATCCTAGAAATGAACGGCAAGACCTGGACATTCATTCTACAATCGAGAACCGACGAAATAAACGTGTCTATTGAGTCTAGCATATCGGTGTACTTAACTCTTTAGAGAATCTCTGAAGCTACAGTTATAATTTAAATTTATTTTTCGATTCCTTTTCGTATTTATTTTCATTCTGTTCATTCTTTCAATCGACTACTGCTTTACAAAATACAATACGTCATACCGAAATATAAAGGATTGAATCCGATATTCGTTGATTCATTGTTTGCCTCAACAAAGAACCAGTCAGTTTTTATTAAAAGTATTGATGAAACGTCGAGACAGACATTTCCATCGAACTTTAAGCTTCGCATCGATATGACGAATGTTTTTCTTACAATATTTTTATGTTATTAAATTGTTTAATCTATCAGAACTTTGACGTAATTTTATTAGTAGATGACCACCGATAAGAGAAATAGCAGTTTCTGTTTGCCTAAACTCGATACCATCATCTTTCATCGAATGTTGACTCGTTTTTAACTCGTTCCAACTGATGGAGTTGAGCGTTAGGGTTTCAACGAGTAGTGGCCGCACGCAGCGACAGTAAAGACGATCTAAAACTGTCGTAGATCACTCTGGGTAGCGCGTTAAATAACAACCGTACGCGCAAATTAAGTAATTTCGTCCAGGCAAAGGTGTTTCTCTACCCAGCGAATGGAAATGGATGAGGACATTATCGATCCTGCGATCTGCCGGTCGTTCGTTATTTGGTGTCCGTTGCATGCGTGCTTTGCGGCCTCTCCGAGAACCGAATGCATCCAAACGCGATTAAACATAGGCTGGTTAAAAAGAATCTTGCAGGACTTTCAGGCTAATAAGTCCAAATTCCTTTTAAAGTATCAACGTAAACGTATGATCAGCAACACGTATAATATGTTTAATATAATGTATCAGTTTTACGAACCTAAGGCAACGTACGAGGAGCGCAATCCGGATCGGGCGTCCATACATTATGGTGCAGGCAATAACACGCGTGTGGTAGTATTTTTATTCGGCGACATTCGTCCCTCGGGGTAGCGTTATTAGTTAAGAGCCTAGTCTCGAACGAGTTAAATTGCGAGAACATTTATCAGTCCCGGAAGATAACCCGAAGGAATTCTAATTTTGCCTGGATGGACTAACGTTCGCCGAGTTTCCAACCGTGAGATTCAATTGGCCGCAGAAATATAACAATGGGACCCAATCAGCTTCTTATAAAAGAAAGAAGATCTAGAAAGAAGACGTTGAAACGAAGCAATCAATTCAACCCGATAAGACAGCCCGCGGTCTCCACCTTTGCCGTGATAAATCCGGATTAGTTCGATGAAGCAATTCGAAGGGAAACGTTGAATCTTGAAGGGATAAAATTACAGTAAATATAATGCTTTATCGGTTAACCGGTTCAGCTCGTAAATTTCCATGAGGATGATGGATTTATGCGACGAGCAATTTATGTAGATCGGACCAGTTTTCAAAAGTATCGAGTTTGCAAATAAATTCAACGTTTATACGGACTTTTTTAAACTCGGCACTGTTCGAGCTCGACAGATTGAAAAATTTTCTCGTTCAACGCGATGCGGACAGTTTCCACGCTTTTATGGCTGTTTTTATTCACTCGAATATACTTGGATTAGTCTTTCAACGCGTGCAGTATCGTGCTGTCAGCTTTGTATCTTTGTACGGTGTACCGTACATCTTTTCCAGCTGTCAAAAGCTGACAAGTGAATATCAAAAACGAATGCCGAATTCCTGGAAAGCGGATGATACCCCGAATACCCGGTAAAAAATGGCGAAGAATAATCGATTCGGAGAGGCGGCTAAGTTGGTCAGAAAGGAATAGGGATAATAAGGAGAGGAAGGGCCTGAAATACAAGTCGAACGAGTCGTTTCGACTATTCTCCGACAGCGACCGTGAAAAATCACGGCGCCAGCTTCACAAAGGTAAGGATAATCTCGAAGAAGGGCAGCATCGAAAGACCTCAAAGTGAAAAAGGTTGGAGCGTGATTCAGCGCCGCATGGGGCCTCACAGCTTCGATCCTTATTCCCTTCTCTTCTTCTTGATCCTCATCTTCATCTTTTTCTTCTCTGCTCTACCTTTCGAGGCTACCTTTTCTCTTGCTTTTTTTATTTTTGCGTCGTTTCTTTTCATCTCACGCGCGCACAAACTCCGATCGACTATATAAGGAGTGATTTGTTGCCGTGGTGGTTTCAACGACGCCGTGGACATTGTCGTCGGCTCGGTTAACGATCTCCCTGATTTTTCTTTCGTTTTCGATCGGGTATTCTTCTTTATTCTTAGGGCAACGTCGAATCTTTTATCGATCTCTTTTTTCGAACACAGGAAATTGCAAAATATTTAAGAATTCGACATTATTCTTCTCGAATTTATGGTTATGATGTTTCTTTAAAATGCACGTATAGACTACTCGTAAGGAAAAGTACATTTACACGGACAGTCGTATCAACTGTGATTGCCATTAGAATAATGTAATTGATGAACGCACCGTATTTGTCACAATATTGTCCAGCGGTTGGTCCGCGATCGAAAGATGTCTTTCGAGAGACACAATGGTAGGTCTAGTACGTAACACCTTCGAAGCAAGAAACGGTACAATGCAAATCGGTTTCGATGCCGGTACAGATTACCGCGTTTATAGCTATGCCGCGTCATTAATCACTCCCGATCGTCGATAGCGTTCACCATTCGTTGTCAAGTAGCAATCGATCAACGGAACACCCATCGTCTGATTTCGATTGTAATTCTCATTTTACACACGACCTTTTTCTCTCATTCTTTCGTTATCGCTCATTTTGATCTGTTCCACCCTTTATCGCGCTGGTTTCGACCGAACACAACATCGACAACCGTGTCGATCGGAATATTTTGGACGGTATTATTATTATTATTTTACATCGAGTCATTTTTCATGCTGGGCTTTGTTGTTTGATCGTCCGCAGTTTTATACGAAGGCTAATATAGGAAGATAAATTGATTAATTTCGAACAAAACTATTTATTTAAAAGAAATTAGGTTGTTTATTTACATTGTTTGCAAGATTGCATATTGACTGGGTCATCGTAATTAGAATGCAAGGAAAGGTGGTAACGAATGAAGTGCTGTTCGTTAAATTTCGAGCTGGGTCATTAAAAGTAACGCATTGATTGCTGAAGAAGAGTATGAGTTATCAGTCAGCGACGCTTCGAGTTCAATTTACTCGGATACGTAAAAGCCGAAGAATGGAGAAAGATTCTTAAACCAAAAATGTAATTTATATGTTGGTTTTCGCGCTGCCCCGCTATCGTAGGGTAGGAAACGCATGTTACAGTTGCACGTATCGTACTCGTACGCACTTTATTTTGCCTTACGTTACGATAAAGTCTACTCCGATGGTCTCATCCATCATAGGAGTGTCGGAAAACTCTTAAACCTTTTCGTATCTAGATTCGTATCTGGACACGAATTGTAAAGTTTGTTGCAACACCTTGCGCTATAAATCGAGTGGCGTTACAGTTCAGCAATCCAACACCGGACGATAGGAGGAACTGCAGAACTCTGTCGTAACAATTAAGAGATCAAGTTTGCCGTTAGGTCGCTGATCGTCGTAGGCGAATAAACATTGACGCGACAAACGCATGAATCGGTGGTACTGGTAGCAGTTGTCGAGGACAAAGAGTGCTGGTAACACGATAGGGGGATTCTCGTGTTTCAGGCGGGCATGCTGCGCGGAGACAACGGCGAGTTCTGGTTGGAACCAGTCGCAGTGTCCCCGGAAGAAGAACGGGTAGGACTGGAGGAAAGACTGGAGGAAGACGCCGGCGCCGAGGGTCGTTCTTTGGACGGAGTGCACCGGAACTCGCTGGTCGGTAGGCCGCATCTCGTGTTCCGTAGGTCTATCGAGCAGCCGCAGCTCGAAATCGGCGCCGCAGGCGGTACCAGACGCCGACGTAAAAAGAAGAGAAAACTCGAGAGAAACTGTGGCACTCGCGGTGAGAATCCACCGACACCGTTCCTTCTCTTTCTCTGCTCTACTGTTTCTTACCTTTCCGAGCTACCTTCTTTCTTTTATTTTATTTCCTTTTATTCGCTTTTATTTTATTCTCTCTGCCATTCCGTACCGCTTCTTCTCCTACCTTCGATCCTTTTTTGCTCGAACCTTTACCATTCTTTGACTTCTCCGCCTTTCGACGTTCTTCCAAGAGGGAGGAGCACGACAAAAGGTGACTATTAACCGCGTCCTGTCTGTCTGACCCGACTCGTTTATATTCTTGCTCCACTTACAGTAGATCAAGTATGTATTGGCGCACCAATTTTCAACCGATATTTATACATATGTACATATATTATTATACATACAAGTTCGGTCAAAAAGAAGTTGCCACTTATATGGAATTGGTGCTGTTGCAGCATTAATTACGAATAAAACTGATGCACTTCAACCTGCGCTAAAGTCCGTAATTCGTTGAAATAAAATAGTATGGTATAAACGCGAAAACGTAGATTGCGACATAAGTATAAGTCGAAGAAGAATTTAATAAAATACTCAAAAATATTTTAAACGTACCATTAACGACTAGTATCACATATTCATTTTCGACCGTTAAATGTTTACACTAATATTGTTTACCTTATTTCGATGTATCCATCAGATATTAATTGCAATTTTAGAATTATTAATTCTGCAATGTCGATCGATAAAGCTATTAAACCGAGGAATGTAAAATATTACGATATATTAACAAACGTCAAAGTGTTGATGTATGATCACATTATTGCAAGTCAGCAAAACAAATGCACGTCGGAAACATCTGTAATGAAAATGGTATAACTAATTTGCACCACCGTTACGATACTATCTGTCGAAGTGCAAGCACACTTAACTCGTACCTCTTTCCATTTAATAAACAGATACTCGTGACTCGTGTCTATGCGCACGAGTGGATGTTTGAAAAAATATCACTTACATGATTACGAATTACACCCCTACGTACTCGACAACAGGACAAAACAGAACGAGAAGAAAAATCGGTCTCTCCTTATAAGCTGAGACTCTCTATATTAATGTATCCAATTTCGAGATAATTAGACGTGAAACGAGAACGTATCATCGTCGAGATTTTATCGAAACCGACGGCTGTCTGACAGCCTCATAAATATTGAATCTTGCCGCGTTTTCTTTTTTACATCGAGCGTGAAGCTCGGTCAAAGGTGTTGCCGTCGGTAAGGGAACGAGTCCGAAGATGTCGTTGAAACGCCCACGTTTCGTATCTCTCGATGCGTCCAATTACATTATATGCGTAGACGGCATAAATACTTGTAATACGTGCCGCTGGCGAACGGAACAGGATAACAAGTACAAGTAGGAGGAGAAGGAGGAGGGAGAACGCGAAGGTGGAGAAGAAAAAGAAGGTGTTGGACAGTTCTCACCATGGCTGCGGCTCTCTACCCCTTCCTTCCTTATTAATTATTACCTCGTCGCAGTTGTACGCAAAGATTTTTCGTATCGGCCGCGTATCCCGTTGGGCTTTTACATCGATGTAATTAACAGAAGGATATGTCGAACGGTATAAACTGGAGGAAATAAGGCGTGGCTATCTGTATTTGCTAAAAGTGATTTATGCTCGAGTTAGTCCTTCTCGCGATTAGATGATGGAGAAATATTTCAACTGTAGTGTGATACTGTACCCCAGGGATATAAACGTTGCCTTTTACTGTTTCCAAAAGATCAACATCAGGTGCTTAAAAGTTATTCGATTAAATATCCTGTTAAGTGGAAAACGAGCATCAGAACTTTCCGATTAATTTAATTTTACAAAGTCACGTATCTATCTTGCGATAATAGGAACGAAGATAAATTCTGGTAACCAGAAATCGAAGATTGAACGATCGCCAAAGATCAAGAGGCACCTCGAGCGTCCAAAGGAACCAAATTAATTCGGCTAATTTAATCAGGAATTTCCGAACCACGCCAGTCTTTGGCACGATTTCGAAGTTGAACCTTATTCAACGACTGACGAGACCGCATTTCAACGGATTAAACGATCGCTCGAACACCGATATGGAAGCGAAGATCGCTCCGTTTGATAGGTATCAGCTTCGAACGAACGAAGCGTGGCCCTCCGTAATAGCCAGCACTGGATAATCCAATTCGCCGCGAACCCGTAATTAACTACAATGAATATCCGTTTCGGCAAGCCGGCCCAAGCTATCGAGGAGGCTCGAATGAAATCTTAATTGCAAGGCTGCGGTCAAACAATCTGCATAAATTAGGGAACGTCCCGCGTCTTACGTGCTTACAGAATATACGTCTTTTTCGGGATAGAAACGCGGGCTGGAGTCTGATTCCTAGATAACCGTGATTAGCAATTTCGAATTCTGAACCATGGAGAAAGATTGATAGAACTCGAGTGAAAATTAGCCCTCCCTATCGACGTTCAGTCAGGAACAAATCTGGTTTCCGTTGAAGAAATTAGGAGATTTATATTTGAATTAATTTAGTATCGAAGAAAGTACCTGGCTGTTAATAATTTGAAGGAATAAGTAGATTTGGTAAGATGAGCAGATTTCGGATGAAATGTTGACAATTAATCGGGTCGATATCGTTGCACAGAACCTAGACGATTGACGGAAACGAGGCTCGAATGGCAAACGCAGCCAGGCCTCGTTCAGGTTCAAGGGCGAGGACGAAGAAAACAACATCAGACGAAACGATGGCAGCGTACCAGGAGATCGATCAGTCGACCTCGTCACGTTGAGGCTCTAGTTGTCGCTGACACGACGATGATGGCTTTCCATCAGGACGGAGACGTCGAGACGTATCTGCTGACCATCATGAACATGGTGTCGTCGCTCTACCTGGATCCTACCATCGGGAATTTCATCAACGTCGTCGTAGTCCGAATAATTCTCGTCGAGGAGGATGAGGCAGAAGTACGTGTAAATCGACCTATTATTTAGTATCTCCGGTAGTTCGAATTATTTTGGAATTTAATTAAAGGTTTGCTGTTAATTCGGAATTCGTGCACTCGAAACTCTAATTAACATATAAATTCCTAGGGCATTATTCGTCGGATCGTCGCCGCAATAATTTGTTTCGTACTTGATCCTGGACAAATAGTATTTAGTCTCCTGAACGTACATATAAATTTAACCTATAAACATCGGTTCTCTTCGGGCTTTGTCGTTACATAGGACATGTGTCAAATTGGCCACTAATATTTTTGTTGATTTAGCATTCATGTTTAAGCGGTCGAAGAGCGGTCCATGCTAACGTTTCTTTTCAGCAAGGACTGGACATCACGGTGAACGCGGACCGGACGTTGTACAATTTCTGCAAATGGCAACAGAAGCTAAACCCTGCGGACGACTCCCATCCGAATCACCACGATGTGGCGATTTTGGTGACAAGAGAGGACATCTGTTCAAGAGCCAACACACCGTGCAGCACACTGGGAGTAGCCCACGTAGCTGGCATGTGCCAGCCTGATCGTAGTTGCAGCGTCAATGAAGACAATGGGATCACTTTGGCGCATACGATCACGCACGAATTAGGACACAAGTGAGTACTTTACCAACATTCGACCGATCGTAAAATCGCATTAAAACGAAAAAACGTTCGTCCGAAACAGACCTTAAACAACGAAACTATTCTTTTCGACGCAGCTATTGAAGGGCTAATTTTGAAAAAAAGAATAGAATATCAGGACTTTTAGGAAACGTTCTTTCGAGACAATCCCGAGCACACAAAAATTCGAACCAAGTTTCGGTGTAAAATTTCCTGAAAATTTCACGAGAAAGAATTAGGCGAGAAGAAGTAAATTACCTCCATGAGACTCGAGTTTTACCCTCCCGAGTAATCCTTGTAAATTTATTACCCCTTTTTTATTGGTCCCTTAAAAGCGTACTTACCGCCCTTCTTTTGCCTCCTGGCAATTACCTGCTATACATTTCATATTTCTTAATGACCGAACATCCTCCTCGATGCGGCGAACCTTTTTATCGCGGTGAATCATCCTTTTACTCTTTGAATTTATCGCGGTTTTTCTAAATCGTGTATTTAACAATCGAGTAGGCTTTCTACGATCAACATACAGGACGTTTCATGATATTTAAAATGATCCGGAGACAAGAATTTGCGAATACTTCGAAAGGAGTTCCATTTCGACGGAACGAAGACCTATATTTCGAAGCCACTAACCAACCCAATGTGATCAAATTGTAATTCGAACCTAATCAAAGTTATAGATATTTCGGTGGAAGTAACCGAAGCAACGACACAGAAGCTAGAATATGTATGTAGATGTATTTCAAAGCGGACGAACGTATTGAGTGCCGAAGCTAAAACGTGCTTAGTTTTCGCAATTACACGAGTAATCTTTCATCTTTCGAAGCAGCTGAGCAACCGTACCGTTCAGAAATACAGCTCAATTAAATTCGTTTTCTCGGTATAAGCGCTTGGTAATTATTGTGCCATGAATTAGAACCAATTATAAATAATTGTTGAATTCAAAAGTGCGTTCCATATGTTATAAAAGACGTTGTATACAATGAAACGCTGCAGCACGGAAAATCGTGGTAATTGGAACGATGAAACAAAAATTGATTTTACTGATGCGAGTTTGACCAACGAACCGAAAATTTAGCTCACCGTTCTTTCGATTAGCCAATTTGTTTTTATTAGCCGATAATGCGGCCTCGTTATCGCGTTTGCCGCGTGCTTGCTCGCAATCGTATCGCAAACGAACACATGCGTTAGCTTCGTATGCAATTGTGTTCGCTTTGAAATTTCAGCTTCGGGATGTACCACGACACGGAGAAAATAGGTTGTAGCAAACGAGACGGCGATACCTTGCACGTGATGACGCCAACATTCGAGGTGGACACAATTGGCGTCGCTTGGTCCAGATGCTCCAGGAGGGATATTACAAATTTTTTGGAGTATTTATTACCTTAATCTCTTAACTACGATAAACGCTCTTGCATTTGTTGAGATTACTAATTATTCTGAACGGTATTTGAGACGATTGTACGATTTCAAATTTCAAAGAAAGTCAAGATTCCTTAATAAAGTAGCCATCGATTTGAAAGAAAATCATCAGCGCGTGAATCATCAAGAGCAGGATCGTTCTTTCAGTCAGGGAAAGGGAGTGTGTTTGGAAGATGAACCGGCAGACAACGATTACGCGTATCCTGATTTACCACCCGGCGCGATGTACAACGCGGAGCATCAGTGCAGACTTCAGTTTGGCGTCAGGGAGGCTTCCGTTTGCTCTCCGTTGCAGGAGGTGATGAACGCAAGTAAATCTCGAGCGGGAAGCGATTTCGGACCAACATATTATCCGTAATCTTCTTCGCAGATCTGCTCGAAATTATGGTGTATCGTCGACGGTACTTGTACCACTATGCTTCATCCGGCTGCTCCAGGAACACATTGTGGAAAACACATGGTACAAAAATAACTTTATTATAATGTGTACCCAACTATTAACAGAAATAACATTATCAGAGGTGCTCACTTATAGACAGATAAATATTCGATCGATTAAATTGCTAGGCAGAGAATCGATCCTTAATTACACAGGCTGTCTCGGCAAAATGTACAACGTAACGCTGTTACAGTGGTGTCAAAATCAAGAATGCGTACCAATCGTGGACAGACCACGACAAATTGACGGTGGTTGGGGCGAATGGGGTTCGTGGAGCGAGTGCTCGCGAAGCTGCGGTGCCGGTGTCTCCATCGTGGAGCGGAAATGCGATCATCCGGAACCAGCGCACGGTGGGAAATTTTGCATCGGCGAGAGACGGCGCTACAAGATTTGTAACACGCATCCATGCCCGGAAGGCACGGCCAGCTTCCGAGCAATCCAGTGCAGCAACTACGACGGCAAGGAGTATAAAGGGAAAAACTACACCTGGTTGCCGTATTTCGATCAGAGTAAGATAAACTTCGTGAATTTAATATTCCTGAGGGAACGTGCGCCGTCTCTACAGTTCATTACGCAGAAAAATATCGAGATCTTAGACACTGTTTCGTCGAAAAGTAGCATATGCATCTTATTGTAGCGGAACCATGCGAATTATACTGCACCGACACAGAGGAGAGCGTAATCGTGCCATGGGGCGAAGCTGCTCTCGACGGTACGCCTTGTAACGTCGGCACCAGAGACATGTGCATCGCCGGAATCTGTCGGGTTAGTTCGCTTCCTCTGAAATTAAAGAACATCTGTTCCTTTGAATTTCGATTAATTCCAGAATGATACTCGACAACTTTAGAAAGTCGGCTGCGACTGGACCGTCGATTCGGATGCCACGGAGGATCGTTGCGGTATTTGTCACGGGGATGGAACGCAGTGCGAAACAACGGGAGGAGTTTACGACAAAAACGATGGCCCCGGGTACAAGGAGGTCGTCGTCGTTCCTTCTGGCTCGAGGAACATAAAGATCGAAGAGATTGGCAACAGCAAGAATTATATCGGATTAGGAGTACCTAACTCTGACAAGTATTTCCTCAATGGGAAACGGTGGGTAATAGTTAAACGATATCATTAACGATTTATTAAAGAAATCGAATTGCGACTCGCGAAATCAAAAATATGCTATCTGACTCCAATTGGACAGGCAGATCACCTTAGCAGGGGAATATGAAGTTGCTGGCACCCCGGCTCTCTACGAACGAGATCGTGATAGGGAAAAGGTTCGAATTCCTGGACCTATTCGAGAGGACATCGCAGTTTATGTACGTACATAACGCTAATACTGTTTCTGAGTCACGTTCGCCAGGAATCTTTGTTCGTCGTTATCCACAAACAACGCTCAAAGCTTCGAGAATTCACGCGCGTGATCCTGTAGCTTAGCACGATTTTGATTGTAACTCTAAAAACTTTTAGCGTGACCAACATATAATATTACAACGATCAATCTTCTCGTTGCAAATAATATCGTTCCATCGCTTCAGTTGATTTCCAGAGGGTACTATCGTAATTTCGGTTTACGGTACGAATACACCGTACCGAAGAAAGAACCTGATCGAGCACCGGAGTATTCTTGGTTATTTTCCGACTGGTCACTATGCACGGCCACTTGCGGTGGTGGTACGCAAACCTCGAAAGCGGTTTGCAACGAAAAGAAGAGCGGAATTGTCGAGGACCACTTTTGCGATGGTATCGAGAAGCCTGAATCGATTTTGCGGGAATGCAATCTGAACCCTTGCCCTGCCAGGTAGAACACGAACAATCGAGTTCCAATTTCACATAAAATCTTATATACATATTTCAACGCAGGCGAAACCATCGTTTCGATATAAAACGAAAACTAGTTTCCTATCAATTTCTCTTGGAAAGCTTTCTAAATATTGTATATGTATCGACGAAACTCGGGCGTCTTTTGATTTTCGAATATTTTTTAAAATGTCAGGTGGTGGATCGGCCCATGGCAAATGTGCCCGGTAACGTGCGGGGAAGGAGCGCTTCGAAAGCGCTCTGTGATGTGCGTTTCTTCGGGGATGGGCCCTGATCGATCCGACTTAGCCTTACCCGACAGAGATTGCAACAGAGACGTGAGGCCCGAAGAAGTCGGTCCGTGTCCCAACTTACCGCTCTGCAGCTCCACCGAACCACCTTTGATCGTGTATGCCGACAACAAGGACGCCTCATTCTATAACGTAAGCTCGAATGATCAGGACGGCATCACGATCGTCGACGGATTAACCACCGAGGAACCGGAAATCCTCGAGTTCGATAACGTGGTCGATGAGAATCCGGACAATTCTATGTACAATACGAAGTCGAAATGGATCGTTTCGAAGTGGAGCCACTGCACGAATGGGAAGAGAAGCAGGAAGGTTAGCTGCTCGGTTCAAGGGGACTGTACTCTCGAGAACAAACCCATCAGCGTCGAACTCTGCCAAGGTGGTAGATGGGTTACTGGTAAGACGATCATTATTGCTTTTAGCTTTCTTAAATACGGTGAAACACGCGAGTGTATTTACAATGTTTAGTGTGGTCTCACGCCGAAGAACGGCAAACATCAGGTACATTAAACATGTATCTTTATGGGCATGCTTACAGGAAGATGGGGATTTTGCAATGCAACTTGCCTCGTAAGAATCGGCATTAAGCGTAGGGAAGTCGAATGTCGTGATCGTATAACGGAATTGCTGTCCAATGATTGCAACCTCGAGAGAAGACCAATCGAGACGAGACGTTGTTATCATAGGAAGCAATGCACGAACGATAAATCCGGTAATTACATACTCGACAGGAAATTTCCTTTCGAAGAAACTATAAAAACTTGATATACACTTAGAGGCTATTATCATTTTGTACGCTTCCACTTTATGACGCTCGTGTATATAGACATTAACAATCATTGTTCACCACCTCAATTCGAAAGTTCATCTTTTCATGGGCTACACATTTACCACTAATAAACCGAACTTTTGAAATTCTTTTTGTACTCTTCCTAAACCTTAGGGACTTTTCCTACGTATTATTTCCTATTCCTTTAGTGATTTCCGGTCTAAAATTCTCATGTGACAGTACAGAGTATCTATAACGCATTCGTTACAGAATGTAAGGACACCATAGTACCAGCCTCGATGTGTGCAACTTATAAACGTATGTGCCACGTTTCATCGATTGTACAGGAGAAATGTTGCGCCACGTGCTCCAAAAAGCGAAGACACGGCCGTCACAACAGGAGACATCTCGGCGATTGACTTAACCAGAAGTGCAAAGTATATATTAAAGTAGTAATAATTATGATTCCCGGTATCATGTTTGATGGACGCTTGTAAATCTAAATAAGATTTAGATATAAAATCGATAATTGAAAGTACAAGTTTAAAGAGATTTAAAGTTCTGAAGCCATAACTATTACTTCTTTAACGCCATATAATATCAACGAATCTCGATATAATTACGAGAAGAACGCTTTCCGTGAAACAGGGTCCGTCCTAGTTCCGTACTTGTTTGCGAAACAAGTTCGCTGAACAATAATACAAAAGTACTCGTGATACTGTGAAATTTTTAACGAACTTCGAAGGAACTGAAAAAGAAACGAAAAAGTTACGAAAGAAATAGATAAGATACTGAAAATTAAACATTCCAATATAAATGATATTGCATTTGTGATTCTGAATGATATGCTATAAACTGTAATTGTTCTTAAATACCTTACTGAAATGTTGAGTACATATAGTATGTAACTTAGCTGTATTAATGCTGTAGATAAATCTAAGACAAGCGTTTTGTAATTTTTATAGTTCTAGTAATTTAACGGTGCAAATAAATGAATTAATAAACATTTGCAAAGTATGTGCAAATATATATGTACAGAAACTATACATTTTTAAATACTGCTTAAATATGTATGTATGAATCAATGCTTGTATCTAATGCTGCATATTTTTTTACCATTTATCATTGTTATTAAAGCTTAATATAGAACTTATCGATAGTGCAATACTATTCAGAGAAACATTGTTATAAAAAAATCTTTATAATACAATCATTTCCAATAACAAAAAATATATAATAACCAAGTGCTACTTTACTAAATATATAAATTTTTAATATTATTTTATGACCTATGTAATTCCATTTTTATCAATGATTGGAAACATTAAACTGCAATTGTTTACACAACAAATTTAAATATAATACATGCACTAAACTTAATGACTGATTCTTAAATAATTGCTAATAAATAACAAAAACTTTCTACACCATTTATACAGTTGAATAAAACTTTCAATATATGAGTGTAATAACTCGAGGAAGTTTATTATGTAATTTTATTTAATTTAATATATTTTAAATATTAAATTTATATTCTACAATATTTACTCGCGAGAATAAGAGTATATTTGCGTACATATTAGGTTTAGCCCTTCTTATTATAGTTGTTCACATTGCATGATACGTATATGGGAATTGCCATCATTCCCACATATAAAACAATTCCATGCACCATTTTTTCCTGAAACAAACAAAACACAATAAATAGAATATGGCTTAACATAAATATCACGTTAACTGTTATGTCACATGTACATTTATAACATTTGAATATCTATACAAAAACTTTAATCAAACTAATCATATAATTTAACCTTTAATATTAAACAAAATATCATTAAAACATACTAATATCTTTATTTTATAGTATACCTATACATCATAATTTATAGAATCCTTGTATTACATAATCAGTATTCTATAAAAATTTACTTACAGCGAATGATATTCGGACTCTAGGTGGTGTACACATAAGTGTCCTGCATTGATTTTCGGATAACTTCAATAATCGTGGAGTATGCCTAACTACTCTTTGAACTGCAAACATGTTTCTGCTTTCACAAAACTTAAGGTTTACAAGAAATAGGATCAAATGCAACCAAACGAATAAGCGTTCAATACGAAGAACGTCACGGCATTAAACTCTGCGAAATATAGAGAGGAAAGTCTAAGATACTTCAAGGCAAATTTCAAAAGTGCATGCTTAGGCAGAATGAGCCCCTACGGGGCTCAAGCGCCCTCTTCCTTGTGAAGAAAATAAAGAAACTAAAAGTGCATGCCGTTATTCTTGATCGTTTACCATAGAGTGTATAATAAAATATGTTTGCTTGTTCTAGTCCAATTATTAACTATTTTAGAAATAATAATAAAATAGATAACTATTATATTATACAAAAATTCAATTGAAATAGGGAGCCCTCTACAAACCGCATAAGAATTTTTAAATCCAACATGCATCATCTACTTGAACATCTAAGTATAAACACAATCATGGTTATAAAAGGTAAGAAAGGTTGGTACAGTTTAAACATAAACAAGAAGTTTGAACTATTTATTTTCATTTTGACTTATTGATATTTATTGACCTACTTATTGCAAGTATTGTTGATTATCAGTGTACTACATACTGCGTATATTTAATTCGATTCTTTTTGTTATTAAAAAGCAATAAAAAAAAATGAAATTCATTTTGAAAGTTCTTTGGACAATCTTTTTTATTTCTGTTTCGATTTCAGATAATAAAATTGGTCTTTACACTCTTCTCATTTCTTTCTTTAACATTTGCTCTGATTCATGGAATCATATTCTTTCGTCAAATGATTTGTACAATGAAATAAAGTACATATTTCTTACTAAGTACAAACTGTTCAATACATTACACTTATCCATATTTACATACACACACACACAGACACATACTTATATACTTATACATAAATTGTCAAATTGACATCTAAAATTAACAACAAAATTTAACAATTACTTTTCCATTGGTGATAAACAGTTGATCCCTGAGTTTTGTCTCAAATGTGCACTCACTTCTTGTATATTATTTGAAGGAATCATCCGCGAATATAAATAAATAAAAGTCCATATTGTTCATATAATAATTAGTATAAGAAATATATCGCTGGAATTGGCACACAATTGACTTTTCTTAATACCTAATATCGAATGCAATAAACACCAACAGTTGTATGGAAATTCCTTTGATAGTATGTAATAAACGAATCATCCTAGTTTCATTCAATAGGTATTGCCCATGGATGATCGGGTATAACACCATATTGTATATCCTTTAAATGCTTAAGAATCATTTTATGAACAGGATTAGATTGTTTTAATGTGGGTATGTGCAATGGTCGTCCACTAAATTCAATATAAGATATGGGACAGATTATACAAGCTGTTCCTGCTCCAAATAGTTCTAATAACTGAAATAAAATTTTAATTATTTAATATAATTTTTGGATTCACTTTAACAAATATAGAATAAATAGGAAATGATTTTACTCTATTTTCTGCAAGTAACTGACAAATTTCATCCATACACAACTTCCTTTCACTGACTTTGAACTGATTCCACTCCCTAGCTAAAGCCAAAATAGAGTTCCTTGTTACTCCAGGAAGAATTAAACCATTTGATAAAGGTGGAGTCACTAATTCTTTTTCTAAAGTTGTAAAATAATTATTTATAAAAGTTCACGAGTCATAAATATGATAAAATTTAATATTTATTACAAAACAATTACTTACCTCCATCATCATTTATGCAGAACATGAAAATATTCATTGTTCCAACTTCAGTTACTTCATTATCTTTTCCATATAGCCACAGCACTTGCTGTAAACCTTTCTCTACTGCTTCCCTTTGTACATATATAGTAGGCCCATAATTACTACCTACTTTATAATTACCACAACCACCTGGCCATGCTCTTGTATATTGTGGGTCTGCTAATAAAGATACACCAACATCTTCATCTGTTTTTGAGAAATAGGAACCCACAGGAGATAAAATGACATATAATAAAGCAGACTCTGATGATGCCACTCCAAGCGTAGGCTGTATAAACATGAAAACAATTATGTGTTATACTTTTTTCATGTTTAATGCAGAAATATTAAACATTCTGATCCAAGTATTAAATTGAGTACCTTTTATAATTTTTATAAACTTAGAAAAACACAGTTTTTACATAATGATGTCAGTTATTTGCATCAGTCTAATATTCTATTTCTTGAACATTTAAAAGCTATGCATTACAATTATGAAATTATTTACATAATGTATGTATACTTAGTATACATATAATTATATCAGATTGATAATTGTTTGTAAAGCATTATACATTGAAGTTAATTTTTTATGACCATGTTCTTGGATGAACTCTGTCATTAAAAATGTTACATCATCTATGACATATATCAGCAGGTTCATGCATATCAATTTAGAAAAGAATATATGATATCAAAACATACAGTAATTTTAACCATGATTCAAACTTTCAAAAGGTTTTACATTAATTTGACAGATATTCAATACAACAATTAAACAAAATGTTTATATCTTTGTATTTTGGCTTAATTATTCTCTGTTACTCATCATTGATTCTACACTTGTTAACTTGTATAATGTGAAGCATGTATCAATCATAATGTAGCTTTTGATCTAATTGTATCTTATGGCCCTGTTCCAACAAAAGAACAACACGCCCCTGTTTATCATGTATTATCATTAGGTATTGAGAAATATATTGTTTACTTTTATATGTATCTGTCTTAATGACGTCTGTGACATAAGTGACATGATTATTATTCCTATGATATGGTTGATTTTGATTCATGGAACATCTATAGAATGTTACCACATACGATATTTACTTGTTTCAATTTTTATTATGATCATACGAATGTCTTTTTATCAAGAAATAGATACTTACATCTATACCTATAAGAGTAGGACGTATATATAGACTAGAAGCAGTAGAATGAGGGACCCATTCTTGATCTATACTGATTAATCTACTACAACATTTAACTAATTCATCTCCGATAAAAGTGGGTAGGCCAGCTCTTATTGCTGAAGTATTCATTCGTTCCATATTTAAATCAGGTCTGAACATTCTTATTTTTCCATCTACTCCTCTATAAGCTTTCAAACCTTCAAATAACTGAAATATATAAACCTATGATTGAGTATATTGTACAAGATTTTATTTTACTATTATTAAAGTATTAAGTTATAGCTACCTCTACAGCATAATGAAGTACTTTTGATGCTGGATGAAGGACTAGATTTTCAAATGGGGTAATTTCTGGCACTTGCCATCCCCCTAATGCTTCATAATAAAATATTTTTAACATGTGATCTGTAAAATACTTTCCAAATTTTAAAGCATTAACATCAGGTTTGGGTTGTAATTGTTCTGGTCCTGCAAGACGTACTGACAAGTCTGCATACTGTAAGTACAATCATTTACAAACTTCACTTAAACTATATATTTAAAGAAGATAAAAATTCTTTTAATACAAAAACATTGTACCTTAAACGAACGTTCTGGTTGTATTACTTTTTTATCTCTAATTTGTAAAGATGAACTCCTTCTAATATTAGGTTGAAGTTGATTTAAGAAACTCCCGCAATTTAAAATCTGTACACACGTAATAAATGAGTAGAATAATCAAATGTTTACTTTAAATTACATTTCTAATGTATGATACCTCTATAAATAAAATCATTTTTTTCGATCTGTAAATTGCTAAAATCCCATTAGCATATACTATAATTAATTACATATATCGCGTAAAAGTATCATAATCGTTTAAAATACTTAATTTAACAAGTAATAGAAATTTTGTATCCAAAATGAAACATTAGTTATGAATATTTAATTACGCCCAATGCATTATACAGAAAAAACAAAAACGTCGAATATCTAAATTTTATAAATAATTCATATCTATCGTGATTTAAATATGATGAATACTATCTTATATCTTAATACGCGATAAATATTCTACGGAAATAACGATAAAGTCAGGTCAACATAGTGTAGTATTTGTAAAAAATTGATAAAATTTTATCATATTCCAAAACATAATTATTTTTTATTCCTTAAAATCTAACGTCATTATTGCTAAATATGATATGCATGTATGTATTTGTGCTCGAACACGTGCTATAATTGCGGCTAAAATGTCACATTGAGATCTTTCAAATGACATGTGACTATAAAAGTGGAGCAGCATTTTTAGCGTTATCAGTAACTAGTAACTAATAGTTTCAATATTTTTTTGCTTATCACGTAAAATGTAGGGAGTTTTGAAAGTGTCAATGTCTTTGACACTGAAAAGTAATTATAATTAAAATTAATAACGAGATACGAAAAACATTTAAGTGCCATAACAATTAGAGAAAATTATTTTCTGTATTAAATTAGATAAATTTCAAGCAACCGTTTTTAAAAGTCTTTATCTATAAAGGCTTAGAAAGTGTTACATTAATATGTTCAATAAGGATAGACTACTGTATTCAAATAAATTTTCATATAAATTTTAGAATGAATTTTTCAAATTACCGGGATATTATTAAAAGATTTGAAAAGTTATTGGTACAGTATTTGACTTCACGCAAATGAAGTCAAATGAGCGTCTCTTCAATGTTTGAAAAGTTCGTTATATTTTTAGATGGGTTCACTAGATGCGCAAGAATATTACATCATCACGAAAACAACAAGATAATTCGAGTATTTTCTGTACAGAACTATCAATGAATCATTAAAAGATAATATAAAAAATATCACACTTCAAAATTACACATTACTTTTTAAAATCAGCGGCAATCCTTCTTTTTGGATACTCCAGTTCATTTCTTATTAGTCACATGAAATTTTAAAGCTATACAAACTTGACTTACTTGACGCCGCAATTGAACCATGTTAATTAGGTGCTGACCGTGAATCAGGAAGTCTTACACTTTTTAAATAATCCTCGAAGGATGTGCAATGTACATTACACAGTGATGTGCTAGCCAATACCTTGTGAACCAATCTTCACAAAGGTTCTTTGCAACGTTTTGTTTTGCAAAAGAAGAAAAGAGGGAAAAATGCGAACTTTCAAAGATAATGTTGAAAAAGAAAAGATGTGAAAAATAACAAAATGTTGTAACACGATCACACGTGACACAGAGAAAGTATCCACTGTTGAAAAACGATTATTCAAAGGAAACACTTGTATCCGCTTCCTTGCGCGTTCTCGAATAATGTATTTGCATTAACCATCGGTTAATATTTTATTTATTAGCAGGCAAGGGGCGTGAGGGAGAGACAGAGAAAAGCGAGGAGTCTCTCCTCCCCCTTCTCTTTATATTCGAGAATAAAAGAGTGGGAAATTTGTCGATGTAATACGTGAACTTTAATGTACACTGTGGTTAGGAAGTTTCTAGTCGATTAAATTGGATCGTTATCGGTACAGCCATTGGATAGTTTTAAATTATTCCAGATATTCTAATTCAAAAAGAAAAAACTTTCGACAGATAAGAATCTTATCGTTTCAATTATTCGTTTCTAACACATAATAAGCCTAAAACTAGTTCCTATGTTGCATCATTGCGTTCAGCTCTGACACAACAGATGCTTAGTCATTCTTTGTACAAATTTTACCAAATTCGAAAACCCATAAGAAACATTGTTGCAACGAACGCATCGAATACCGAGAACAGGTTTAAATGACACCCTGTGTGTAAAAGACGAAACTCATGAATACTGTGTATGATTATAGGAAAGGGGAGGAAAAATTCTGATGGGGCCGAATGGAGCGGGGACGGGGAATTGAAAACATGTTGATAATACGGTTTCTTCGGGCGATAAGAAAGGACAGCACACGCGTTGTTGTTAAGACCATCGAACGTTACTCGATTCTTAATAAACGTTATAAATATTTATTAAATGTATAGAATGCAGCAACGAGCTTTCAGTAGTACGAAATTGCTACGTCTTTGTAGTTAGAAAACATATTTTCTATAAACGATCACGCGATCCCTTTCAGAAGATCAGAAGATCAAGTTGATCACGACAAAGTTACTGGGTAAAATTAGTGTCTTTTTTTTTTAGTATATACGTTCAATTGACACTCGATATTATTTTCTTTTATTAACGATGAAGAAATGTAGACAGTTTACGTAGCATATCAAACATGTGATATTGAGAACAACCTACAAACAATTCTTTGCAACAATCGAATGAAAACAGCAGATATCTCTGTGTAAGTGGTATTAATTGCATGGGTAACTGACGCTGATATCATTCAATTTGCATAAACTTTTATTTTAAATATCTTTTAAAAATGTACGTACGATCAATACATTTTTACGTAATTTTTTTTCCCCTTGTAATTTTAAATCTATTATCCTCAGAAACAGACTATCTTTTTCCTTTTAACAATGATGAACTATAACAATAGACTGACGGTAATTTGTCGCTTTTAAACATCCTGAATAACAATCGTATGTTTGCAATTAACACAGACATTATAGAATATAAAGCAATGATATAGTTAGCTCAGTTCCAGATTAGACAGTCCGTATCTTTTCAATGCAACTTCTGGAATTAACTATGAAAATAACGGTATCTCTACGTCACTAATATTTGCCCCTCTTACAATTTTTTATTCTTATAATCGATACATTCTGCATCATTCCATGATAATGAAACAATGACGAAAATAGACATTCCATTGTGCGAACGTATGTATATGCATAAATGTATTCTTATATTTGGTAGCGTTTACCTCTTAAGATATTATACGACAATACGTCAAATGCCTTCCCAAATACGTTATGTTTATAAATAAAAAAAATCAAAGTGAAAAGAGAAGAATGAGGTAGATAAGATAAACCGAAGAAAAAAATAATTGAAACAAAAAAAGAAATATAAAATGATAGGGAGAGAACGCGAAACATATACTATAATGTGTGTACGAATGAAAAATGATGAAAATTTACTGTTAAATGTTAATTATGTATGTAGTGTTATGCATAAATATCATTTTCATCCCAGATAGAAATAGCAGCAGCGATAAGATTGTTATTTTTAAAAAATCAAAATATAAAATTTGAAAAGTCTTACTCAAACTACAAAAGAATTTAGAATTACATACTATTATACAATAAAGTTATTCTGCAAAAGTAAAATAAGAATTTTGAAGAATATATGGTGACAGTATTTATAATTTATATTGGCGCGTAAATACTGAACATAGTAAGTAAGATTTTGATATAAGTTTATCTAATCAAATTTTACACATTAGTCTGACGGGTGCAGTCATTTATTTCTATACAGTTGGTACTCCTCATTTCTATAATTATCACTATTATATTTAGCGCTTGTAGATGAATTTAAATTAGAAAGACAATCATTTATTTAGTATTAATTTAATGATCTATTATGGCTTTTCATCATTAATGGTACCGAATATGCGCAAAAAAAGTAACCAATCGAATTTTGACGTCCTCGTCTATAATCCAAGGTTACACTTGCCTCTATATTCCTAAATCCATGGCCGCCACCCACAATATTGACGTGACGAACACTAACATATCTTTTAATCACGTTCGATGTTCTGTCGATAGACAGACGAGTCATGTTTTGATGAGAATCGCCGTTTGAACGTGACTGTTATTTTTTACATTTTTATATTAATCGAAAAAATCGTGATAAGGCATAAAAGGGAATACGGTAAGAGCGCAAAATTGCGCGCTAAAATGAGTCTTAGCATAACAAAGTTATTTTCACGGAAGAAAACCGGTACAATTGACACGGTTGCCGAGATTGGGCCACCCACTAACGTTTCCCATAAATTTCATGTGAGTAAAAATGCCGAAACGGGACAATTGGAGGGTCTTCCTGAATCATGGATCCGTTTGCTCAATACACAAATATCAAAATCGGAACAGGATGAACATCCTGCCGCGGCTCTGCAAGCTATTAAATTCTATAATTATTCAATAAAACGAAAACCAGAGGAAAAAGTATTCAAACCTTTCGTTACACAAGATTTAATTGAAGAGGAGTCTCAAGAAATCGATAAAATCTTGTCAAAGAAATATCAATCTGGAGATTCTGATGGCTCGATTTCAGCAAATTCCACAGACAGTCAGGTGCAATTGCCAGAACTTCCACCTAAAGTGAACAAAATTCCAAAACCTACGTCACAAATATATTCAGATAGGGCAGAGAAAACTTTTACAGAAATTCTTGAAGATTTAAATTCGTGCCAGCTTGATTATGATATATTACCAGATAATGAAAATACATTAAACAACGTAGAAGAAAGCCCTATTTTACGCAGGAAAACAGAGTATTCAGGAGCAAAACTTAGTGATGAAGAAGTTTTTGAAGAACTCAGAGCTATTTGCCATAGCGGAGATCCAAATTTACGTTTCGAAAAGACCAAAGAAGTTGGGGCTGGTGCTTCTGGCACTGTCTTTATAGCTACTGATTTACAAACTGATCAAAGAGTTGCTATAAAAGATATAGATCTATCCAAGCAGCCAAAAAAAGACCTTATACTGACTGAAATTAAAGTGCTCAAGGAATTTCAGCATCCAAATCTGGTGAACTTTCTAGATGCGTATCTTGTAGATGAGCATCTGTGGGTTATAATGGAATTATTAGAAGGTGGACCACTTACAGATGTTGTTACTGAGACTGTAATGAAAGAAGCACAGATTGCTGCAGTTTGCAGAGAAGTTTTAAAGGCAATTAGTTTTTTACATACAAGAGGAATTATTCATAGAGATATTAAATCCGATAATGTGCTTCTTGGTATGAATGGTGCTGTGAAAGTTACAGACTTTGGTTTTTGTGCTAATATCGATGGTGATGAGAAAAGACAAACTATGGTTGGAACACCTTACTGGATGGCACCAGAAGTTGTGACAAGAAAACAATATGGGAAAAAAGTGGATATTTGGTCTTTAGGTATTATGGCTATTGAAATGATAGAAGGTGAACCACCTTATATGAAGGAAACACCCTTGAGAGCATTATATTTAATCGCAGCTGTTGGTAAACCTTCTATTCCTAGATGGGAAACTCTAAGTTCAACGTTTCAAAATTTCCTAGAAAGATGTTTAGCGGTTGAAGTTGATGAAAGAGCAACTGCCGATGAATTGTTATCTCATCCATTCTTGGAAAACTGTGCAGAATTAACTACTCTTACACCATTGATAAGAGCAGCGCAAAGGATTCTTCATAAAGCATTTAACTAAGTATTCTTATTTCATTTTTTCGAGTAGATGACAAATATTCATTTTCATGTTAATATGCATTTAATATTTTGAGTACGCGTGCAAAGTTGCACCAGTATAATTTACATAATGTAAAAGTATAAAAGTATTTTTTACACTGCACAATCAGTATAAAGTATGTGTGTGCAATGCAGTGGTTTCACATATTTAATGTGACCACCTACAATGTGTATATCAATGTGTTACCAAATTTAAAGTAGGGGTAAAATAAGATACAATAGTGAAGAAATATTATAAAATAATTTATAGGAAGTAATTTAAACTAAGTTAGTTCTCATAGTCTGTTATAAAAAAAATCATTATTAATATAAATTATTAATAATTATGTGCAATATCTATTGCGTAAGTTCTTTGTTTTTTATATATATATATATATTTTTGATCTCTTTCACTCAAGGAAATTCAGTCTTGTATCTTTTGTTATCAATTTTAAAATGGAAGTAGGTGCAAACAGTGCAAGTCATTATTGTGCTAAAAGAACATATTTGGTGTTCTGTATTAGATTAAGATGATATTTTGAAATTGCTTGCATTTATAATGGAGTATGAGTTGTATCACATTTTTATTAAAGTATTGTACTTAGATTATAGAAGAACTGAAAGTGCAAGGTATGCGCACACACTATCAATCAGGGGTTCAACAGTAACTTATTTTGTTTGATAACTATTACAACACCATGGAAAATAATAATTACAGTTTAATCATAGTACAAATTAAATTTTAAACTAATAACATTACCAAATTAACAATTTAAGTATACAGTGTATTTCATTTTTTATCTCTACTATTTACACTTTTTAAATTGCATTCCTTTATTGTTTAGAATCTGTTAGTTTATTAAGTAAAAATAATTATGCCATACATTTTGAATCAAAGTCATGTATAAAATAGGTTCTGTAGTATGTATTATTTAATGATTCTTTAAATTATCATTATTCAATAAACAAAATAGTTACTTCTTTATGAAAACTTACATAATCTTACTTTGGAAGAAATCATAATAGTGAGAAACTGAACATTTTGGTTCCATGGAACAAATATATGTATTAATAATCACGTATTGTAAAGAATGTATCATATCGCGCATTGTAAAATGCATTTTTTGACGATTTTTTTAAGAACTATAATTAAAACTTTTTGAGAAATTTTATACTTGTATTTTAGAATTTTATACTGCTCAAACCAAAAGCCAAATTTTAACAAGTATTATGAATTATATATATAATTTTGTATGTACAACACACTTTATAAAAAAGACTTGAAATTAGAGTCCAATTAAATATTGTCTGCAATTATCTAGCTTAAAAAACGTCCAGCAGTAATATGATGTAGAATCACACCTGTGATAAAAAATTTAGGTCTATTGTATTATATTTCATATTAACTTTTGATCAGTTAAGTATAGAATATTTTCAACATCAATTTCATTTAACTTCAGATCATTTTACAGGTGTAAAATTACATATATCAAACTTTGTCTTCGTAATTTCATATTTCAATAATGCGACTAAGTAATATAATCTAAAGGTTGAAGTATTCATTTAAAAAGGTTTAATGTAAAATTGATTAGATTCACTCAGTCGTAACACTTGTGCCTTATCAAATCAGTACATATGGTCCTATGGCTGCAGCCTTATTGAAACTTTTATCATTTGTAACAAAATATAATAATAAATTTAATAACGGTCTTTTAATGAATAATAATTGTAAGAAAAATGTTATAAAATTTTATATCGTTTCTAATATTTCGTCAAACAGCAACGTGTCTTATACATTTTTAAATATATATATATATATGTAAAAGAAAACATCACAAGCCTTTTTAATAATAAATATTTTATTTACAAGATATACGTACGATCTTGTACATTTTATCACCCCTATAAATTTGTTTGCCACACTGAAGTTGCTTATCGCGTATCACATTATTAATAAATAAATATTAATAATAAATATTTACACTATATTTGTACAAATTTTGCGTATTATGCTAAAAGATAATTACATTTTTACGCTACTACTATTACAAAACGTTGAAATTATATTTATATTATTTGCTAATATAACGTATATTTCTGCAAAACAGAAATACTGCAGTGTGGCAATCATTTTGTTAAAATAAATATATAAATAGAACATATAATCCTGCATGAATTATTCTTCTTTACAAGGAAATGAATTATATGCATATAACATACATTATTTTTTCAATTCAATTAATTATATCTTTAATAATTTACATTATTAATTAGGTTTTAAACAAATTAATTTATGCCATAAATTTATGTTATTGAATAATTTCTATATGTCCTATGCATATATCTTGGAACAAGAGTATTCTCGGTATATGCATAATACTAACAAATTGTATTAATTAATTGGTATTCTATGGAAATGTAAAATGGATTGTATAACATAAATAAAATATTTGCAATATGCAATTTAAGATTTTGTATTGATTAATGTCTTTTTACACTTCCATTAATACGTTTTGTAGAAATATTAAAAATAAATATTTCTATTTGATCATATTTTATCTTGAATTTGGTTTATGGCAGTATTTATGTACGCATATTTGTTCTTTGATTAAAGTGCCTATTAATACAAGGTTAGAAAGTATCTCGGATAAATTTGCTAGGATGGGTACTATGAATTTTGTACACGTAACATTTGAAGCATAATGTTACAAAAGTCACGGAAAATAAGAGGCTACGAATGACATCATTAATTTTGGCTGATATGCTTATTTAATAAACGGCTTTTTGTTCAACCTAGATTGTATGTACTATTAAAAATTAAGCCGTTTTCTGCAATAAACATTTCAGAATTAAGATTTAAGCAAAGGTCAGTTTTCCGAATACCTTAATGCCCGTAATCTTCCAGCAATAAGGAAAGTTGGATCTTCCAACATAGCTCTTAAAACAGCTAAAAAGTCAGCCGCTTGATCTTCTTCGATTGCTCGTCTATCATATGACAATGTAGCCGACATTTTTGTTACTGTTTGCAACGCAGCATCTGTAATAAAGTAAAACATTAATGTTTTTCTATGCGCTCTTAATAATTGTGTTTTTTTAAGTCGTTTACCTAATTCTTCCCGACCACCGCCAACTGCAAGTATTGCTGTTTGAGGAGGATTTATAATGGCACTGAATTGTTTAATTCCAAACATTCCTAAATTAGATATTCTAGAAAATGTTGGAAATAATATATAAAATATTATTTATATATTAAAGTAATTACGTGTCACATAATTTAAATAATACTCATACTTACGTAAATGTTCCTCCTTGAAATTCTTCTGGCTTCAATTTACCATTTCTTGCCTTTTCAGCTAATTCCCTAATATTTTTCGAAATATCAACTAAATTTTTTGCTGCAGTATCAAAAACAATTGGTGTAATAAGACCTGTGTCTGTAGCAACTGCAATAGATATATCGACTCTTGGCATTTGAATAATCTGTTAGAAGAATAAATATATCATTCACTAAATTTTAATAATTATATTAATTTTCATACTGACCTTATCATTTTTATACAGTGTATTAATAGATGGACATTCCACTAATGCCAGTGCGGCAGCTTTCGTTATGAAGTCATTTACCGATACATTAATGTCATCGGCTTTAAGTTCGCTACGAATTTCGTTTAGTTTGTTCATTTTAATATCGATATACGCATAAGCGTGAGGAATGGTACTCTGAAAAGTTTAATGAATGTTTACGTGTATAATGAATGTTTACGCGTATAATTACCTTTGCTTCCCCAAGTCTCTTTGCAATTACTCCTCGTATAGTAGAAACTGGAATATCTTCATAGGTGGAAGGTTGACCAGTAGGTACATGTTTTTTCGAGGGAGCAGAAACGGGTTCCTTTTTACCTGTTCCAACTTGTGGTGGTGGTTCTATGTTGTTAAATAAAAATGTTCATTTTACATATACTCAATATTTTTCCTAATGTTATAATTACGTACCAACTTTAGGAGAAACTTTTTTCACATTGTTTGCTTGGATATACGCTAAAACATCGCTCTTTAGTAATCTATTAGGTCGTCCAGTTCCTTTTATAGCGTCTGCATTCAGTCCATACTCCTCCAACAATCGTTTTACTGCTAAACCATATACTCTGAAAGAATAATATCATAATAAGATATGTATCATTTATACAAATAAGCTTGAACAATTTAAAATTGAGACATTAGTATTTTCATTACATACTGTCCACTTGCTGCAGGCTTTTTATCAGCTGTAGTTGGAGGAGGTGCAGCTGCTGCTGTAGATGGTTTTGTAGTACTTGGAACAACAACATTTTTCCAATCCATTTCCTTTTCAACCGTGATTGCAATTAATTGTCCCACTTCAACTTGGCTGCCTTCAGGAGCCTGTTAAGTGAATTTTCAACTAAGTATTCAAAATTTAAGATATTTTGAAGCATAAGTTAACATTCAGATAAAATTGTGTACAAGAATTTTTGCGAATATAGCTTCATCCTCAAATTCAAAAGTCATAACAGCTTTGTCTGTTTGAATTTCTGCCAATGCATCTCCTGGTTCTATAGAGTCTCCTTCCTTTTTCAGCCATTTCACTATTGTTCCTGTAGTCATTGTCGGTGATAAAGCTGGCATGGCAACATTGTTTCTACAAATAATTATGTTTAGATTTTGATATTAAAGTGTGATATTTCATACAAACCTAGACTATTAAACTATTTGACATAACATACTGGCCTGGAGGTGGTTCAGCTACTGCACTTGCAGGAGGTACACTTGCTGGTGCACTAGCTGGCATAGATGGAGCTGCAGCTGGAGCACTGTCTGGCATTTCTACAGATTTCCAATCTTCGCCAGGGTCTACAGTAAGAGCTATCAATGTTCCTATTTTAATATCTTTGGTTCCTTCTTGTACCTATTAAGATATTTTATTAAAGTTTCTGAAAACATGTACTATAGATATTCTATAGATATATATGTATGATATCTTACAAGTATTTTTGCAAGTATACTGTCATCGTCACCTTCCATTGTAACAACTGCTTTATCTGTTTGAATGTCAGCAATAGCATCTCCTGCTTCAATTTTGTCACCTTCCTTTTTGAGCCATTTAATGATAGTACCACTTTCCATAGTAGGTGACAAGGAGGGCATCAATAGCTCCTTTCCTTTTACTAAAAATAAGTATAAAATGTTTATACTATGAAATGTATATTGTGATATTTAAAAAGTATACAGCAATAAATTAATATTTGAACTTGGTTGCATAATCAACCTAATAAATAATATTAATAGATTGTCATGCATCAAAATTAATCAAAAATAAAGGATGTAGATATTCTAGGAATCTTCAGTTACTATGATTCATATTAAAATTAATGTCGTTTCAATGAGAAATCATTTGAAACATATAATAGCACCTTAACCTCAATTTGAAGCAGCAGTGTATCTGTTAATGAAATATTTATGAATAAATTGCATACCATCGAGGACCCAACTTGTATGGAAACATGTTCGTTGATATTTCAGGGGAACAACAATTCGTGGTAACACTCGATTACTATTTTTAATAGATAATAGCGCGATCCTAGGTATCATCGTTTGCGCCATGTTTAATGTGAAGCAATTTAACTATAGCGTTATCCACACATACGTATTATACATTGATATCATTTAGATGTACTTGCGACCTCCAGAATGAGATTCTGTAAAGTTTTACCATTAGTGCCTTAGGTCTGATTAGCCGCACTTTATAATTTTATAAAGTTTTTCAAGAAACGCTTTGACCACTATTTACCAACTTATTCTATTTATCAGATCTTTCTTCGATGAAGTATTGTACTCTTTCCTTTTCACTTATTGCACGTGTAATGTATGCCTTAATTTAAATTTCAGGGTTATCGATGTACTATATACAGTGATATATTCACTATACACGTGGTCACTTATGCAATAGTACGATATTACAAAACGAATCAGTGCGAAGTACAAGATGTATGCGACAAATTGATATTCAAATTATAATTTTTAATAACAAATTATTCATTACTGTTTGTACATAGGCTGTATCTTATTTACTTGAAATGGTAAAAAATATATGCAAATAATGGACTCTGTTATTTTTAAGTAATAAATTATTTGTTAGTAATTATAAGCTACATACTGATAATATTTAAAAATATTATTTTCCTTATTTAAAAAATATTATTCCTACTACAATAAAGTATTAAAAAGAATCTATAATTTGTTCAGAATAAAGATGGTATGCATTTAATAATAGATCCATACATGACATTGGAGGTGCGAAAGCGTTAAAAATATAGTGATAGGGTATAATAATTGAAACAGTTTCTTACGAATGATATAATGTTTATTGTATTTCAATTAATACGCGTATTTTACAACTTATGTTTGTGATACACATCAGTCTGTTTTCTAGCAAAGTATCGTCACACGATTTTTATTTAACACGTTGAGTGCCACAATAAAAACGACCGTATATACGACGATACATTTTAATAAACGTTACTTATATGATCGTTTCATTTTTCCACATCTTTGTGCCTTACCATTACAACAATAGACCTACATTCTTTTCTATCTGCATTTTGTGGCCAATCGCAAACATTGTTGACAGTGTTCCAAACTAAATTGTTGGGACAGGTGAACTTCATCGGTGATCCGTGAACACATTCGAAGTACTATGAAAAAGTAGAATGGAATATTGTTGACGATGCATTTCTTAATTCGAGTGTTTATTATTATTTTAATACTCACAGAATGACAGTCTTTAGAAGGGACAAATTGATTAGTGCTTTGACATACAGTCTTCTCTGCTTCATTATCGTCTACAGGTTCTTGAGTAGGTTCTGACTTGTCTGCATTCTCGGTGGTCGAACTTACTTCCGGTTTTCGAGTAGTGGTTTCCGTGGGTTTGTACGTAGTAGACTGGGTAGTAGACTGGGTAGTAGACTGGGTAGTAGATTGGGTAGGTTGAATGTTATCTGACGAAGTGGTACTCGGTGGTTTCGCCCAGTCAGGCTATACATAGAGTTAACAATAATTTGGTAGAACCACAATTATAATTAAATAGTAGACATAAAAAGTCTGTAATTATTACCGTAGGAGTTGTGTGGAATTCTTTGTCCTGTACAACGTATCCCTTCAATCCTTGGCTAATAGTATTCATTAAAGGATTACGTTCGCCGCAAAGTCCTTGGAAATCGTCCATATCTATGGCCCAAACCATAGCACCGGCGTATCGTGATTCTTTGATAAAGTCGATCTTGTATTTGACACTTTCTACATTTTCGTAACCCACCCATTGTGTTTCTGTAATTATTAATCGATTAAAAATCACGTAGCAAAAGGATATTAAACTCTCGTGTACAAATATGTGTACCTTTGTACATGTACGGAACTTTGCCAATGTCATCGAATTTCTGGGTCCAGTTGCTTCCTGGAGCTTGCAGTCTCGTGCAAATCTTTTCAAAAAATTTGTGTATATTAGTAATATAAATTATTATTGATAATGTTTCAAAATCGTGCTTTAAAGTTGGCGAATGACTCAGAACTTGTCACATAAATTATAATTTTCAACCTCAAATTAAAGAAGAATATTGTATCAGAAAGTACCAAGAGTAGTAAAGGCATATTCCTTTACGTAATTAGTGTACATTTAACAAAAGAAAAAAGAAATAAATTTAACCAGCAGGATATCCATGTACCCGAAGTAAATACGACCGCAGAGGGTTTAATATTCATTGATCATACTTCGTAGTAAGAAAGGAATCCTTTGGCCTGGGTGTACTCCCCAGGTGCACCACCGCCAGCTTCTTTATTGATGTAGGTTCCAGGCTCGTAATTATGGTTACCTTGGCTGAGGGTAAACGTACGCCCGTACAGCGGAATTCCAACGACCAGTTTCTTAGCTGGACAGCCTTTTTGTTCCCAAAGTAAAAGACCATCGTGCTGTAACGGCATAATGTGTACATGTATATGCATATTCATGAATTTGTCGCTTTGTTCATTATAAACGTATCGAAGAGCGGTATAAATAAAAATACAGAGCGTTCTGTATTGTTCTATACATACCACGTTCAATTTTTCGTAAGCCCACTGATCGTGCGGTCGACGATAAAGAGGACTATGCACATCCGCGAAGCCAGCCCAGTTACCACGAAGGTCATAGGCCATTACGTGAATAACATCCAAATTGCTATGAAAATATAAATGAAATATAAATATTCTGTCTAGAACATAATAGCTTAGTCGTCGATTCGCTTACTTGCAAAGTTCTGGTACATGATACCCCTCGTCTAGACGAAATTTCGCCATCGGAACCGCCATCGTGATCTCCCATCCTTTATTCTCCTTGTCGAAAGCGCGCCTTAGTTCTTCGACAAAGTAGAAGAATTTATCCTTATCGGAGAATTTACCACCTCTGTCTGCCGCGCCAGGATATTCCCAGTCCAGATCGAAACCGTCGAAATCATATTTGTGCATGAATTCTAATAACAAACAAACGTACTAACATTATTCACGCATTAGATTATTATGCATTCTATCACTAGGCATTTTGACATCTTTATATGATAGAAATTTGATGAATATCCTTACCGACTACGCTCTTGATGAACGTGTCTCGCCTTTCCTTCACGCTGACTAGAGCACTATACTTCCTGCCGCCTTCTCCCCAACCACCAACAGCTACGGAAGTCTTTAGGTGAGGATATTTGGATCTCAAGTTGTTGAAGGCCAGGAAATTTCCTTTGTCAACATCCAGTTCAGGATCGAGAATCAATACTTCCCAAGTAACGTTGCTTACACCGATGAATGAGTAAATGACGTGAGTACATAGATCACCCGGAACATCGTTCACCCCGTAGCTACCAACATCCGGTCGATAAATGGCCCAGTTGCTGAAGTAACATGCAATCCTGCCTTGTTGTTCCGCTGATGATCGAAAATTATTTCACACGAATTATTAGAAATGCATTATCTAACGTATACATATCTTATCTGAAGGGAGTGATCCATTTACCTGTCGCGATTACGAATAGCAGAGGAAGTAACAGAAGAGTCTTTCTTGAGGTCATTTTAGAAACTGTAAATAATTATACTTGATTAATTATTCGTTAGTAATTTGTGACGTATCACCCTATTTCAATTGTTAAGAATGTCAAGTATGATGAAAACTAACACCTACACGGTCATCGCCTAGAATTATGTTACTCTATTGGAAATTGTTCTCATTGAGCTTCACTGTAACGTCACAATGTATCGGTAATTAATAATGTTAAGTTCACAACCTGATAACAGAAGTTCTGAATGAGTTTATCGATTATCCAACAGCCCGATTGAAGCAAAGTCACAGGTTCGTGTTACGGGTTCGATATCAGAGTCGATGCTCGTATCGTGTACGTCTGGTTAGGTAGGGCATCGAGGCGTCTTTAAAAACGCGAACAATCTAGCCGGTTGATCAGTGGTGGGTAGAATAATCGCTTCATCGAAGCGTCATTCTTTAAAACGAGTAACGATCGGGCGACCGGTTTTCAGAAAAGCAAATAACACGGTATGTTCGCGAAACTTTTCTTTCTACCAATCTCGGGTTGTTTTTGTTTTGGTGCAGGGTAAAAGATAGCATCGAGATTCACCGAAGTATGTAGTAACAACGATCTTTATCTTGATTACACGGGTCTCTATCTTAATTACGTAGATACAAAAAAGTGAAGCAAACCTATTTGATGATCGGCTGATTATTTTACCGAACAAGTTCGATTTTTTCGTTACTATGCTAATCTTCTATTTTCACTTTTACTGTAATTGCACAAAATTCTGTTTCAGGAAGTAAAAAGGTCTGCATTATAACGGTACAGTAATAAAGGTTCAAGCACCTTCTTAACGAGGGTTCTACTACGAGAATTAAAAAACGAAGCGACGTTATTCGATCTGTACACGCGAAAAGGTCCAGTCGATAAAACTGCAACATTTTTTTTTCTTTCGTTGCACGTATTCCTCGACGAGATTAAACCACGAAAATACGATCGTAAAAACTTCGGGTCACCCCTTGCGAGACTTAAACCGCACGAACATGAGCTATAAAATTCGAGACGATTGTATTATAACGTAAGTAGAATGTACCGTTCTACGCAGTCCGAAAAATATTTTTCCGTTCATCGGCATTCAATTACGATCGCAAACAACGAGGAGTAACCGCTCCTTGAAATTGTTTTATTTTTGCTTTGAAAACGTTAAAAACAGTTGAGATGTGAGCTGAAAAATGATAGAAACGTGATCGAAATTCTTTCTTGTTTAATTTTGATGCGAAACGAGGAAGTTTCGAACTGAAAAACTGAACACTTCCAAGGTAAGTTCCTTTCTCATAATTCTATGTAGTTGAACATCGAAGTCGGAAGAAGAAAAATAGCAAGAAATCTATAGCACTTACTATGCGGCAGTGAAAGCGGACGTACGTAGAATGTCACGTTATAAAAGTAATTATATATGCATTTAGAACAAAATGGTTTCATATTTCAATTAAAATTTTCCACTTATTACATTACAAAATTTTTGAAGGGTCATCCAGATGCTTATAACTAAGAATAGTGGTAATGAACAGTTCTAAAGTCCCAAGCCCTAAATATTTATATTAGTTGCAATTTTTGAAAAGTTATTCAATCGTATTGAAATTTGTGGCGGCAGTGAGCAGTGGTCTGTATAGCGTTGAACGTGTTAACGGGTCAATTCCAGCATGCTCGTAACAAGAACCGTTCAGATTGTTTTTCGAGGAGATCGATCGTCTACGGTTCATTGTCTTTCGCATCGTTTGAGCGCATCGACCACGGAATAACAATCGATTCAATACAGAAGCAGTCACAGAACGAACAAAGAACGGTGAAAGAAGATCAAAGACCGTCCTTGGGATTCGACGAGTTTCGCGCGAAATATAAGAGCTAGATAATGGTCTTTGCATCGTCAAGATAAAGGAATGACACCGAATCAAGAGTCTGCGGCTTTCGCGAATTAAAATGCTGGCTGCATCCAGTCCTTCGACTACTATTCCAACTGCACTTCGAATACAAACGTCCGCCACTCTACGGAACTCCGTTTTATCGGCATAATAACTCCTGCCGTTGTTCCTTTGTTCTGTTTATAGAAGATGCTACGTTTTTAAATATTTTTGCCAAAAGAAGGAAAGTGATTCAACCTTCTGTTTCAACAATGTTCTTCGAAAGCGTACAAGTATCTCCTAAACGATCGTTTCTGAGTCTTTTTAAATTCTAACCACTTTTTTTTATCCCATAAAATGTCCATTTTACCATTTCAACTAATTGATCGAAATTAAAGAAATTTTTAATGGAACGAAAATAACACCGGCGTGGACCTTATTGTATATTTTTCAAACTAACGTTATGGAATTTATTCGAATAAATATTTGGTTGCTTTTAACATGTTTGCGACGTTAGTCGTATATATTTTTCGAGGTTCTTTCTGTTCAACAAGAACGCCGACATCGTCGTGATTATTCATAAGACCGACTCTCGAACCGATACGCCATAATTTATTTCTGTTGCATCTCGTTGCACTTGGAGGATTTGATTAGTTCGTAGACATAAAGAGCCGATCAATGATAGCCTTCCGTGACGAACATTTCAAACGATATTAAATCGATCGTTTCAATCTTAGATGTTGGAAGTTTCTGTTTGTAAAACGATTGCGATTCATTTTACGTAAATCTGGTAGTACAGTAAATAATTGCAAACTTATAATTTTTGTCAGACACGATAAAAATAAATACTTTGATAAAATTTTGATGGGAGCAAAATAAGTGAAAGTCAGGAATTTTCAAAAATCTCTATAACAATCTGAAACGGCTTTCTCGTTAACTATAACGGCGAATGGCAAAGCCGATAACAGTGATAGCGTTCGAGTTACGATACTTTTATGAAAATGAGACCATATAAAATCCACTAACTCTTCGCTGACCTTCGAGCAGGAGATGAAAGAAACGAACAGAAAGGCGCAATAAAAGGGTAAAAAGAAAAACGGAAACGACACGAGTGGATCCTCGCCTACATGACGTGTCGGAGACGAAATTCCAAAGAATTTATGTAAATATGTGGAAAATGGTTTTATCTCACCGTCTCGTAAATTGTGATGGAATTGTAATAACTGAATAGTATTAATCATTCATTAATTTTTATTGTATTATCAATGAAACGTCAACACTAGCAGGTATCACCTATTTCCGATACGATGCTACAAGTAAACTAATCTAAAAAGTACACTCTGAGATTGTTTGTTCAACTGGATGAGTAATTGGTTTTTTAAATCGCGTCACGAATTTTATAATACAAACTGTTGCTTGAATCATAGATTTTATCGTGTGATAAGATCGTTCGTTGCAATGGGGTGACAATCATTGATGCTTCAGATTTTGTGTTTATAAAAATTTAGATCTTCGGTGAAAATGATATTTATGTTTGAAGTTCCTAGTTTCCTTTCTTTTATAACTTTCTCAAGATCAGATAATAGAAGGTTAACAAACACGTGGCCAGAAATAAATATTTTTATTGCACTTGACACATGGATTGTTTTCTCAGATGTGTGTCACGATAAAGATTATCATTTCTTATCATTAAACGAAATGATTTATTGTAATAGCATTAGTTTTCAAGAATTCTGCTTACCGATAAAAAAACGATTAAGTGGATAAATAATCCTCGTGCACTTATAGTTTCAACAAAGTAAATACACTGATTCTTATTACGTTAGAACTGAAAGCGATTATTAAACCATGCCGAAAGCGATTTAAAAATGAATTATATTCAACATGAAGATGAAAAGAGAAAATGTTCCATTGTGAAAATTGAAAATTAAGCAGCGTGTTAATGAATCGAAAGAAATAAAAGCTCATAGTGTAAATAAGAAACGGCAGATGCCTGTGTTGAAGTCGAAGAAAGAACTGAAGAGAGGAAGAAGACTCACCGTGCAACGAGCGGGTACCAGAGAAAAATCATGGCTACGGTCGAGGTTAAGCTCTCATATATACCCAGCTGGACCTCATTAGAATTCAGGTGTAAGGGGACTGGTACGATTGGTTGGTTCGTCGACCCTCTGCCTCCTCGTCAACGACGAGAGGGACAATCGTGCGACGATCATTGCTGATCGACTCTTCGTCCCTCCATTCTGGTTCTTCCTCCACTTTGTATTAAACTTTATGGCGATTCGCTTGAATATTTTATTCTTAACAAATTTAACAGTTAAGTATACGAGTTGATACTTCTATGGACTCGTACACTTGCTATTAGTATCTTAGAGGGTAAGTCTTTTATTTATCTCATTATCGATCTTATAATTAATGGGATTTTCCACACGCGGATAGCAAGACAAGTAATTTATGCTGAAAGGTATGTGTATGTATACAATGCATAGAATGCTGTTTGATAAATTTTAAGATTTGCATAGGAACCTTGCAGCAGAGATACCTAATACGAATAAAAAGTATCGCTTTTAGCCTCGAACCCAATCATGTTCAGAATGCATCCTTGTTAACGTAGTTTTCTTACTGAATTATAAGAACTAAATATATTTAATTTTTGTAACGCTTACTCTAAAGATTCGTAATAAATGGAATTCGTAATAGAAGACGGGAATCGGTAGGGTTGAAGAAAAATTGTAGCTCGTGTAATATGGATTTTATTTTATTCGTGTAACAATAACAGCTCCTGTTCGCACAGTAGTCTCTTTTACAATAGTGCTTTCGGCGTGATCGCTCCACCGATCCGTTTGGTGTCAATGGCGACCGTAGAAAGCAACTGTTTGCTGGTTTCTCAGGTACCATGGACCCTCGAGGGACATCGAAAGAGTAATTCTTCACGACGAAACAATTAAACGTTATCATTTTTCGAACATTGTCTCTCAAATCGCGATTCACGTTGAAAAGGAGAGAGATCGGGGATCTCGAAGGGACCAATCCTCACGAGCAAAAGGCTTTTTTTCGATAGAAACAAAATCATTTTGTTCCACTTCTTCGCGAGAAACGATCAAAGTTCCTTCACAGATTTCACTTCGTGCCACTATATCGTACAAAAATTATTCCTAACGTCGATGCCTGTCATCGACAATAGAAACGTGTGGTCTACCTTTAATTATCGTGATTAACGAGATACCTTTCTCGCAGTGAACAAGGTGGAAGATTCTTAATTAAATTGTTTTTGTGCTGTGAATTAGTCTCGCCGGTTTTTTCTTGATTTTTAATTGACGAACAGTCGTGTCGCTGTTTGCGATCGATCTGTTGAGCGTAATTTGGCACTCTTCCACTTCAAATGGACTATAAAAGAAAAGAAGGAACGTGAGATGAATTTCTTTTTAGAAACATTCAATTGCGATCCGCTTTTTAACCGCTGCGAGGCTTTTTAATTCTTTGAAGCGATGTCGTTAATAGACGGTATAAATGCTACCCATTTTTTAAGAAAAACGTAAGGGTTTTCATTCTAGTTCTTTCATCATAGATTACATTGGTAGATTGTACTAGCACTGACAGGAGAAATATATTGACTAAACTCACGTAAATGATAAAGAAAAATGATTTGATGGAATAGTAATACTAGTCGTTGGTAGAACAGAATTGAATAGCACCGCAATAAAATAAAGTCTACTTCACAGCGAATATACTAGCATTGCTATACTAGAGTGATGACAGAAATTTAGTCGAAATACTCTACTACTATCACCTCGGTATAGCAGCGCTACTACACTCCATCGGTAATCTAAATTTAAAGCTAGTCGTTGGCAAAGAAGCGATCATTAAATACTGTTTATGTTCGAGATCTTCTCCCAACGAATTACAAGTACAAAATTCATCGAAATTTAATTGACGCTTCAAAGAATTAAGCTGCACTTGCACTTTATTAACAGGATACGTTCGGTTCTATCGATCTCCATTGAATAGAGACGTCGAACCTTTTTCGCACGCTTATACATAACCGTGGAATTTATTTAAACGCACTCTCAAGATCGATTTTCATCTTCGAATTGATACATTGGTGACGAGAATCGACCTTCGAAACGTTAAGTGTTGTAAGTCAGACATCGATGACATCGATGTAGTATACTATTACAGGACGTATCTAGAGCGTATATATACGTGTTACGAGTTTCTTAGATTATACGTGGCTCAACGTCGGTCAAATGTATGGATCTGTTATGAACATGTTCGTAAGAAAAGTGTCGAGTAGGATGCCCATTGGTTAGGTAAACGTCATACGTTTCCATACTTTTGACTGCGTTGAATTGGAGCAATATTTGCGATCGTAAACAATGACCAATGATACTAAGATAGAGATGATTTTTATTTTAATTCTTTGGTTCAGCAATTTTTATATCGAAAATAGTTAAATAGAATAAACATGCCGTCTGCTATTTAATTTGATTAAAAAATTTATAAACGAAGAAGGAAGATATCGATATTTATAACTTTTGTAACTTTAAAGTTCTTTCTATATCTACAAGAAAATTATTTACGGGGTTATAACGAATAACTGAAAAATAATCAGCTAACAAATTGTAATTAACGCACGGCACAGTGAATATAAATGCGATGGCAGTTAACGTGTTAGTCGCGATTAGAAGTTGATTTATGCGAATAAATACGTGATGACACGAAGAAATTTTAATTTAGAAATTCTTTCTTATCGAGACAGGTGTTCGTTCTTAGAAAATCTGTAATATTAAAACGTGAAAAATTCTTATACAATAATTATGTAAACGGTGATTATCGTTACATCGAATACACACAGATGTTTTCCAAGTATACTCGATGAAATTTCGACTATCTTTGGTCACTGTTTCGCTTTGCAAAGATCGTTCTCGTTTCAGTCAGTTCAACGATAATGATCGCAATTTACAGTATATTATCTTACAATTAGTCTTTGACTATGTCACGTTCATAGCACCTACCGTAAACGCAACCTTAATTAATTATTATATTTATTCTTTATTTCTTCATTTTATTCCTAATATTCTCCTTTGCTCTTTATTCAGTTTCTGGATCGTTGATTCTTAAACTCGTTGCAATATACAAACTTGTCTCAAATGACAGTTGCAGAAATAAATCGAAAAGTCTTTTGCCGTTTTTCAATTTTAGACACAGTTTTACATATATTTTTATTTGAAGTTCCACTTCCAGGGTGCCTGAACTTTAATCGAACAAATTTAACGTAGATTTGTCTTTCAGAAAAACGAGTCTGCGAAACACGATTCCGAATAATAAATAGAACACTTTGAATTTGGCCGAGTGGCTTTAGTAAAAGAATTAAACGAATAAGGTAAAATTTATTTAACGATGAAAACTATATGAACAGTTTATAAACGTCTTACCTTAATTTATAAAAACGATTGAACGCAATCTCGGCCAAATTCAACTTGCAGAGAATCATACTTCTGATTGTTTTTTATTATTATACCTGATTTTCCCTAAATTACAGGAATTCGATTACAGTCCGTCGCTAAATTAAACCGCACTTTCGCTGTATCTTAACTTATTTATTATCGCTACTCATAGAAATTGGTGGAAGCATTCTGTTCGAAAGAAAGAAAAGAACATCAAGACAGAGTAATGTCAAGAAAAAACTCAATTCCTTATAAATTTACACATTTCAGAGTTAAAAGAAAGCATAAAAGCTGCAATACTGATATTATTCAAATTAATTCTTTATGTTCTTTCTTGACGTGAAATTATTTATAATTATCCGTTTTTAAAATTTGCCTCAGTAACCAATGCAACAATCGCACACGAATTCGAAGCAGAAAATAGTAAATATAAGCTAAATCACGCTCGTTAATTTAACGAAACAGTGCTTACTACTACAAGGGAATTAAAATCGATAGAAAGAAGAAAGCGTAATAAAAAAAAGTTAAAAGCTTCTTTATTTCCGTTGATCGTCTCGATATTTACTATTTTCTTTTATAAATATCGTTCACCTAATTCTGCTCGACATCCATTATTATGAACTATTCGTTATCGTCGACTTAGAGGACAACTATTTATTATCAGTTTATTTAATCAATGATTATGTACAATATCGATGCAAATAAAAAGACAAAGAAAAAGAAGGAAAGAAAACGCCGTTTCCTTATTTTTAATGTTACCGTGATCGCAGATATCGGGCGATCACCTGTAAAGTTTCAAAAAGATCTTTTGTTTCTCTGTTGTTCCGGGCTGGCAGTAGCGTTTTTCTTTTGTGCTAAACAGGATTTTGTTGTTTCTTTTTTACGATAGCAGTGTCCGTAGGACTTTGAGCTACATCTTCTTACGAATAATAATTTTCTCTTTGTTGATAGAGCGGAAGCGGTGTCACCGGCGAGAGATCCTCGTCGTCTAAGCTCGATTCGGTGTTCAAAGGAAGTGTAGCCAGAGCTTTCACTGTCGATTATCGAATCAAACAAATTAATTTCGATTTCACGCGAGACGTTCGTTGGAGAATTATTTCTTATTTATCTTTTTCATTTAGCATTACTTCATCATCGTATATCTTTTACGCTCTAAATTCTCACCAGTCGTATGGCTGAGAGATTCAAAATGAGCTGTAACTTGAAATTAATTCTCTAACGAACATGTAGCATCTATGAACGGCGTTAAAACGAATATTATTCGAGGAAGAAATGTATGAAGGAAAAATGGAAAAAAAAATGAAAGAAAAATATAAACAAACCTGAAAAACGATAATATGGTGCGCGTGTCCTATATGGGAGGATGGAGAAAGCATGTCAGTCAGTGTGCCTGGTTACCTATACACAGCACAAACAATCCAAACAACACTCACTACGTATGAAACATCGACAATTGCTCACATATTTGTTCATCTAGTTAAATTATGCACGTACTATCGAGTCACATAAAATACATTTACTTTGTACAAATTAATATACAGTTTCCTGTGAATAAATATGCGAGTCAGTGTATACTTTATAGTCAGCTGGAGCTTCATCGATGAAATTAGTCGTAGAATTAAAATAAAAAAATAATCGCGATAACGCATGCCAATGTGAGCTCTCTGAACTTTATACGCTGGAACTGGAGAACGATTAAGACCTACGTTCTAAACTCTAATTCCTCTAAACACATAATATTATACATAATATAACACTATATACGATAGATTAAACGAAAATTTGGAAGTGATTATTTCGAAATAACAGATGACATTCTCCTAGTTCCGACAAGAAGTACCAGGTAAATAAAAAAATAACTGGGAAATTTTACAAGCGTAGGTTTTCTGTAAAGGCATAGAAGTCCACTCTAAACATTGGTCATGCTATCACACCACTATACGCTATTTAGATTCGTGCAAAATGAATCGAACCGATAATCTCGACGATCATTCGTGACAGAAGAATTCAACGTACCCGCTACCATTTTGCTTTTCTCCATAACTTGTTTCGCTAGAATTTGATTCAACTGGAGAATGTGATCTCTCTGTCGTTTTTCTTCGACTACTTTTCTCTTCAAGTTATCCGATTTCTCTATATTAATGTTATCGTCTGAAACAAATGACAGTAAAACAATTGTAGCTAGATATTATTTATGAACTTCGATCAAAATTACCATTTCCTTCCGGCGCAGTGACGGTCGTTTCCGACAGCATTTTCCTAATTGCTTCCGCCTTCTTCAATCGATGCTCCTGTTCTTCAGCAGTCAACTCAGGTGTCTGAAGCATAACATTCAAAATATTTCATCAAAATGTTAATACAACATCACCAATACTTTCGAAGTTTCATACCTGTTCAGGAATATATCTTTCAGGAATGACGATTTTGTTCGGAGTCCCCAGTAGCTGATCAATGGTGCTCTCGTTATATTTCAATTCCTTGTGGCTCAAGGTCGATCTGACGACATCAGGAGCGTTAATCCTCGGCCTGAGCGCTCGTTCCATATCTAAATCATCTCTTGCTCTACCCATTCCCTGAAGAACACAATTATCGATTACCACGATCATCGAGTATTCGCGCGAACCACGATGACAGCACAATGACAACGAAGCTAACCATGATAAATGGACATTAGAACGGAAGAACGATTACCGAATACCAAAACGAAACCAAAACCAAAACAAAAAAAAAGAATACCATCTTTGAGAAGGTGTCTTCTAAGTCGAGGACAGGTTTGCTACTGGACACGGTATAGTGTCGTCTTTTCTCGCGCGGAATTTGTCTTCGTCTAGGTCCCTCGACCTTTTTCTCCGTCATTTCCTTGATGATCTGTTTCGCGGCCTCGCTTTTGAACACCGGCGACAACTGCGGCGAATTCGAAGCATTCACGTTCAATGTCGAACCGAACGCTCTGTCCTGACCATTAGGACTATTTGGCATCAACAATTCTGGACTCACTGGGCCTTCAGAGTTCTCCGCTCTTCCTGACATCGGGTTTTCGTAATGTCTGTATTGCGGATAATACGCAGCCTGCTGATTCGATCTGATCGGTTGGCCAGGGTAAGACTGTTGACTGGGACTGTAAGACGGACTGGTCGAATAGTTCGGCGAACTCATAGGCACGTGGGAACTCGAGGTGAGGCTGTCCGTGTACGGGGACAACGTACTGTCCGAGCTGACGTCCTGACTTTCGAACTTTCGTAAGATGGCGGACAAAATAAAACGTCGTGAGATGAAGGGTATAGAAATTAATTAAAAAAAGCAAAATGAGAAAATTATGACTGGTAGATGCATCGATGTTTGTCGTTGCGATTCGAACCGATGCGAGAATTTATAATAATCAAACGTAATACGATATTTGTGCTGGATGGAATTGCAGAATGTGGAAATCGAACCTTTTGTAATTTTATATCGAATTACTTTTGCTTCGATATAGTATAGGTCGGTAACGGCGGAACCGATTACACGAGCTGCTTATGGACAATAGATCACTTCGATCAATTTTCGCATCGGTACGAGAACGTGTAGAGAAATATTAGAAGATTATTCTGATCGACTTACTCTGACTTTATTTCGCCGAGCAAGCATGCTTCTTAAAGCGTGCATGCTGTCGCTTCTGGGAGGAGGTACCACCGGTGCTTGATGTATTTCCGGTTGTTGCTGTCGCTGGCCACCGAAACCTCTCGGTAAGGACATGCTCCTTTGGAACTGCACGTCGTCCAAGTCCGTCAACTGGACTGTGCTTTGAGCGTGAATCATCGGAGACTCTTCTACGACCTTTCCTAATTGAGCTTTCTAAAAATAAATCGATTGGGAATAGAATAGAATAAAATCGACAAAGCGACGTGGTGTCGGTCAATCGGTTAAACCAAAAAGGTAGTTGCAATTCTTGTCACCCAGAAAGGTCAAGATAAATTATTCGAAATATCGACATATTTTGTCGAAAGGAAAAGTTCAAACATGCTGACGATTTAGAAAAATTCGAAGAGATTACCTCGAACTTCTGAGAACCTCCTAGATCGTCGTCGCACAATCTTTTTGCACCTCCAGGCGCTTGCAGCCCATTCGTTAATGGAATTCCAATGTTTCCAGTCCTGTCCCCTCGATCTCGTTGTCGTCTTTCCGATTCCCGTTTCACGATTCTCACCGTTTTTATTTCTTGTTTCTCGCGATTGTGAATCAAACCTTGAACAGTACAGAAGCACTTGTTTATAAAGCTTATTTGCTTAACGTTATAAAAAGTTAAGCTTCACAAATTTTTTAATTTTCATATGGAATTATTCTGTATCAAGGTACGTTATTTGTTTCGAAGTACCCTAAGAAACACGTTAAACGAATACAATTCCGTGTTTGCATCAAGATGAGAAATACTCGGTTCACAGAAAGGGGTTAATAATACTCGCGTTACTTCGCTTACCTGCAAACTTGTTGTCCTCATTTTGCCTGTAATTGTCGTTTAGCAACGTCTCTTCATTCAAGGGTGGCGGTGGGGGTGGTGGAATATACTCTGGCGGAGGAATGACTGTGCCATTAGTTAGATGTTCTTCGTGCTTGTTGTTCTCTGAAATTAATGAACATTAACTTAATACACACAGACACGCACACCTTCCTAGAAAGAAAAAGACAGAATTAATCCGTTGCTAATGGACGACAAAGTTCGGTCTTTGGACATTCTTATAGAATACACTTTTAATAAATAACAATTTTCCGAGGAGCTATTTCGTGCTGTAAATTTACACGCGTATTAAACGCATAGAACTATTTACGTAAATTAGATCATGTTAAATTGTCAAAGGTGCCATGAATGAACACGAAAGGAAGGGATCAGTGCCAGACACTCGAATAATACCTTTTCACGCTCCGAAGAGTCGGCAAAGGATCGAATCCGTTTCTTACCTTGAATTCTAGACTCCGTGTTGACATACAATGGCGCAACGTTCGCTTGCATCAAACTACCTTTGCCTTGCATCTGATCTTTCAGGAGTTGTTGCTTTAACTGATGCTGTTGAATCTGTTCCCTTAATTGCGGAGACAGAGACGAAATATGGTTCTGCGAAGATTGAGAGAACGTTTGGTGGTTCTGTTGACGACTCGTTGGCGACGAATCTTTAATCTGCGTCGAGGAACCAAAATGCAAATACGGTCCACCGTTCTGTTTGCCACGAGGCGAAGAGGACAGTGCCGGACTCGACGGGGAATCCAAACCGTGATCCAATGTTATCCCGGAATCGAGATCGGTTTCCAACCAGGAATTTTGCGTTCGTTTTTTAGGCTGATGCACTTGAGGTGCTGCAACGGTAGAATCATTATACAACGCGTTCCAGCAAGTTGCAAGAAATATAAGAACTAGCTTCACCTGAAGAAGGTTGAGGCCGAATCTGTTGCACCAAACTGTGAGACTTTTCCGTCAGTTGTCTGACTTGAACGCTCAGTTCTTTTCGTTGCCTCTGAAGATCACCGACTAGCTGCTGGACCCTTCTTAATTCCACTTCTAGAGGACCAGTAGTGGCCGATGTGTCTCTAGTCATGTTTCCGGCATACCTTCTCGATGCTTGAAGCTTCTGCCGCAACACAACCAGATCCTGTTCCAATCTAGCGTTCTCCGCCACCGTTTCCTCGAGTTTCTGTGAATCAAATGTAACGGGGGAATCATTCGAGGTATTTTAAACGCTGTTAACGGACAAGAAAACGGGAACAGAACAGCGAACAGAACGGAAAATCTATTTTTGTGGTGGTTGATTGATTTACCTGGAAGAAAACCGGCTTTACCTGGAAACAATGAATTTATAATTTAATCACTCGTTCAGGCGAAGTTGCGTGTTTGGAAAACGAACGTACAGGCTCTATCAAAAAAGTCGTGCAAAGCGAATAACGCGATCGTAGATTCTCTGCGATACAAAGGATCGAAAAGCTTCTTTCAAGATCTGTAAGCGAAGTTCATTTTTTTAGACTATCTGCTCGTTACTTTTTCATCTATTCTACGCTTTATTTTATCTCCGCGTAGAGTCTTGATTACTTGGAGACGTTCTGTCGATGGTGAAACAAGTCGTTTCATTCGAAAGTTCCTTAAGAATAAAAGGTTGAAACAATTCTTGAGGAAAAAAAACTTTTCGATCGAGTTCACCCCGTTTGAATGGCAATTCGCTGAGCCGATTGAAGTTTCGTGATGCGTGGGAACCAGAGGAAGGTGTTCGCGAAAGATGCGTCTATTATCGTAATTTCGAGTTAGGAGATAGTTCATCCGTTTCAATCTGTTTCAAACTTCTCGCGAATATGTATTTGACTAAATATACGTAGCGATATATTTATCGAGAATAGAACGAAGCAATTCGCGTTTGTTTTTCATTTTTGTCGCGTGCATCGAAGCAAAATGACTTTTTCTGGAAATGATCCGGTTAACAGGTTAAAAGGTTTCGCATTACGGCGTAAGAGAGTTCAATGATCGGCTGTTTCGATCGATTCAAAGGTCACCGAACTTATTTTAGACTTCTTTACCTTGGAATTGTGCGCGAGCAACACCCTCACTCTGCTCAGTTCTCTCTCCAATAGGAGCTGCTGTTTCCTGTACCTCTCAGCTTCCGCCAGATTACTCCTGCTGCCCTGTAGCTTGTGTCGTAGGCCGCCCAGAGCCTTCTCCAGAATCTCCTGTTCGAAATTCGAAAAGTTTAATTCGCTGGAACAAAATGTCTCCAATTCGTCTGAGCGTACGGTTGCCATCGGCCAACTACGATTCGCCAAATAAAAATAATTTGTCGGTCGAATTTCGGTTCAATTGCCCGTGTTTATTGGAATTTCCTTCCTCTTAATAGGCGGAAGCTTTCCGTCGATTAATCGATACTATTTTATCGCTGCTTCGTTGCGGAATCGTTCTATAAGGAATATTTATAAGCGAATATTTCTACTTGACTAAATTAAATCCTCGATATTTTTACGCCAATTTCAGAAGCGTAAATATAGTAAGTCTGATCTTTCTCGATGATATAATACCTGACCTTACGAAAGCGGCCCCTTACGTAAAACTGCCAATTATTTACGCCGATCTAAATAAGAGAAAAAATCGATGCTCTCAATATAGACCAGATCGATACACCTGTATTTAGCGAATGTTAGACGAACGTATTCCGTATTTTTCGCGCATGTTTGCATATGACACTGAATTGAAATTTTAAAGAAACAAATTTCGTAAATTCCCAACACAAATACGTAATAAAACATTGCATTATGACCCAGTAAACTGCGTGAAAAATTGCACTGTTTGCGACATTGCACAATAATTCGTTATACGTCGCTTATTCAAACATTCCATAAGCAAAACACAAAACGTACATCATCGTTATCCTATAGAATCGCGTACCGAAGCTGACTGTGCGCGACCGAGTCAACATTTTCGTCGCAACAAGTTGCCGTTTAATATTAAGAAAAATTAGTTTCCTAAAGGAAAAACGAAATAACTATACCACGAGGTTCTACGAAAGCGGAGAATGAGCAGCGTTACTCGCCTTGTCTTGCTGAAGACTATGAAGTGTTCCGGATTCCTCTTGCAGCAGACGATCCAGTTTGTAGAGCTGCTGCACCTTGGCCTACGACATACAAGCAGCGTTGAGAATCAACCTTGAAGTCTTGTCTTCCAACGGAGGAGTCGCGTTTCAACCGGATTCGTGATTCCGCTACAATGATCTTGGTCTTGTATCGCGATTTTATTCGAAAAAATTCCGTCTTCGACCACCTTCCCTTTTTACAATAACTAGGTTATCGAATGAAGCCATAAATCGCAAAATGGCAAAGGACGTTTTTGTCTGCTTTGTCACGAACAAGTCACTGTACAACGTTTTGGAACATTTTGAATACCGTTTCATTGATAACTGTTTCGTCTTTCGTGTTTTATTGCGTGTCCATGTATCACACAAAGGATTTAATTATATCCAATGCTACGTACAAACGTTCTCGGTTAGCAATTTCCTAGTACTCTGGGGAAAGCCCTTTTCTCTTTGATTTTCACGTAGTATTATGCACCGTTATGCAGGATCTCGAGGTATGTAAACCGTATTTATTCCGGCCTTTTTTCATGCAACGTAATTTTCTAGCATGCATCCGAATAAAAAGACTGTATTTATTTCACCGAGGACGCCCGGGAAAGAACGACGGGATATATAATTTATGATATATATTTTTAACCAGATCACCAGTTTCTGTCGATGTACTCCGTAATGAACCGTCTTTTCCATCGATTATGTTCCCTGTGGAACAGCAAATTTCTCCAAGTACGAGAAATAAGAACTTCTCTTTGCTATTTGTTACCGGAAGACGAATGATACCGCGAACGAAGGATAGGGGGTGAGCAGACATCGAGTGGTTGCATCCTTTGTTAAACCTACCCCTCCGTAAAATTCATGAAGGGTCGTGATGGTTTCTCAGATGTTCCCCGACGTATGTATACACGCGAGTCGAGTGCGCGTATCGATTCTATCGACCTCGAGGGTTTTATATTAAAGACGTTTATCGAGAACCATCCGTATTAACAGAGACTCGATAAAATCGAGAATTGGTAGGCTTTTGACTAAATCGTTATACTAATACTAAGTTAAAAATCGTACCTGAAGTTGTCCATGATCAGGACTCAGTCGATCCCAGTCCCTCCGTTCCTCGGCCAGAAGACGTTGTTCTTGCACCTTCTGATTAAATTCCAAGCGATGATCCCTGGAGTTGTCGTGTGCCAGGTCGTGTCGCGAACCCGATACACTGCTGGTCCCATTGGCAGTGTTGCGATTATACAGGGAACCCAACTTCACCATGTTGTCCACGAGGTTCACCAACGGCTTGCCCTTTTCGTACTTGGCAAACACGAGTCACTTTGAATTTCTAGCCGGTGTTTTACTTCAAAGTTTCTCAGTTAAATGGACCGCAAGCTCAAAAAATCTCCGCGAACAAGCAAGTCTGGCAGGATAATTAAATACCGAGAAACCAAACGTCGAAACGAATCCCATCACTCTGGATTTATCTTTTAGCTTAAGGGAACGTTGATCTTTCGCGGCTGTCTTTTAAGTGGTCCGACGAGCGCCTTGGGAAATTTCGAGCCGAAGAAAAGACGGTGGTTCGTTGAAATTTCCGAGTAATTCGACCAACGAAACAAAGCGTTCGATAGATATTCATTCATCTCGCGTATATTCGAAGCATAATTGGATGCCGATGTTTTATTGTCCTTAGTACACGGTACGAGTAGAAAATCCACGAGTTTTGCCAGAACCGATTATAGAATGGAAAGTGACTGTTACCTGCTTTTCAAGATCCATCAGGTGTTTCTTCAGCTCCTCGAGTTTCTGAAGATTCTCCAATCGTCGCGGCGTATCGAGCTCTGCCAATCTAGCCTGCGGGTCACAAAAGATCGCCACTTTAAACGCGGCACCATAGAAATTTCTTTATCGAAGGTTGCGTCACTCTTTAAAACCTAACGATTACACTGCTTCCTGAGAAAAAAGTGCTCCAATATCGGTGCAACGTTCATCGATACAACATTTAACGAGAAATATAACAAACACACAGAAAAACGATACTTTTTCTTTGCCAGATCGGAATTGTAATCGGTGAATATTACTTTTCGAAGATAATCGAAAAAGTCTGATCCGAAGATCAGACAACGCGGCAGAAGAATATAAACCCGAGCGAAAAGTGCAGTGTCGGTGAAATACAAGGAAAAAGAAAATTACAAATCAAGTGCAAACGTAACTATCAATACCAGCATTCTTACAACACGAGAAAAGGAGTAAATGACGAATAGATTGTACACCTTACAGAAAAATATCGATACATTCGTTGCTCTTCGACATCGCAAAAATTCGTTAAATATCGATAGTTTGACAAAGAAATAAAAAATTTTAGGATTTCTTCCTTCTCTTTTTAACGCGAATGCTATTACGACGAAAATAACCATGCCTGATATGTACAAGTTCGATGAATTGAAGACAACTATGAACAATCTGTTTGTCGAAAGCAACGTAAAAGAAGAACACTGTGACATGGATTTTCAGGAAAAGGGTAAACTTTCATTCGTTTGAACTTTGACCTCTTCAAACATCGACTACTAGGCGTTAAAGGCACACTAAAAGCGAGGTGTTCGACACAGAGACGAGAGAACAAAGCGTTGTCGGAATTCTCTTCTCGAGGAAGATTTCTATTCTAATGACGTTCACTCGAGACGTGTCCTTGAAACCGGTTCTTCGCGATGAACTATGATATTTTTTAAACGTCCTCTTAATAAAATCTGTCTTTCGTTAAATCGCAGAATTCTCGGAGCACGATTCACTCGACACGACATCTAAAAATACCGATCGTACGATTCAATTGTTTCTAATTGATCCTCGATTAAACGTAAGCTGAACTACGACCAATTTAGAATCGGTCGAAGCTGATAAAGTTCTATGAACGAGAACGCATTAATTTTTAATTTATGGCAATGAAAACTAGGAAATAAAACCCCGCGAAAGAAGTTTTGCCGGTGAATATGGACATACTGATTTAGAACGCGGCAGAACTTCCACTATTTTATTCGACGGTCGTGCAACGAACAGGTTGACACGGTACGGACGCAAAAGACTCGTTTCGACTTTCCAATAGGCAGGAAGCGAATTTCTCGTAAAGGAAGTTCTACCGCATTTTCTTCGAGCTTGTAATTATATTTCTCGACGAGAGAAGCGTGACACCATCGATGTTCGGTCGGAATCGAAGGTTGATCCAGCAGCAAGCCGGCGACATAATTTCCTAAAAACGTCTTCGGACCTGTGCCTCGATCTCCATGTGGCAGGTCTCCATCGCTTTGTAGATGGTGGCGTTTTGCCGTCGCAGCTGGATCAGCAGGAGCACCAGCTCCTCGTGGGTCCTGCCGAGTAGTTCGCCGGCGGATACGCGAACCAGTCCGTGAGTTCCGGGTTGCGCCAGTTTGCAGCCGCTGACGTTGCTCTGTCGAGGCATGCAATCTTTCGTTAGCGAACACACGGTTTCGTAGACGAAACAAAAGAAAACACCGTACGTAGCTCTGCCCTTCTCGCGCCATTATCCCCGTGAAATTCGTTGGCGAACAATTCGGTGTGAACGCGACAAATTCTCGTCTCTCCTTCTCGGCGACGTCGCGCGTGATCGATCGAACCTCTGAAAAACGCTACGTGTCTCGCTACGTGCTACCAGGATTTCAACGGCTCTACTTTTCGCCGTGGGAACACGTCTTTAGTGAGATTGAAAATAGTTGCGAAAGTCTCGAAGCGAGGAAATTTTTCTCTCGGATGATCGATTTGGCGATGATTTGTGCATGAAGAGGTGCGTGAAGATGTACCTTACCGCTCGAAAGTGTTTGCTCAACGTTAGCTATGCGGTTACGAAGCCGTTGCGAAAACTTCGAGTGTTAGGTTGTTGCAAGTAAAATGTCCTGGGTTAGGTCAACACGAACTTCCAAAAATCTACACGGTGAATCGAATAATGCGTTACCGACTGTTTGCTCTGCAAATATCAAATATACCTCGTATTCGTTTTTTTAATCGACCGGAATCGATGCTATTTTAATCTTTGAAAACTTTTGAGCGGTAACGGTACAAATAAATACTATATACGCGTGTAATTGTGACTTGTGCATTGCTATGATAATCTAATAATTTGAACACCGAATTATTTCACCATATAAATTTCAGATTCGATGAACTTACGTCGGTTATTATCATTACGCTATGTTATGGTTATTAAAAAGCGATTCAGTTTGATTGGCATGGTGAGTAATGAAAAGAGTAAAAGAATGGCGTCGATGAATAATTGGGTATGAATGCAGCACTCTACGCGTTAGAAACATTACACGATACCGAAAATAAATGCTTTCATTTCGGTTATGCAGATGTCTACTCTACGGTATTATTAAATTCTAGTATCTATTTACGAGTTGCGGGTTATAAGTGACGAAAATCATTCAGCATTGATCCACTTACTAGTCCACTTGTCGACGATTACCATTTATTATCACGATTCGAACAGCCTGAATGATTTATCAAACCCCTATCAAATCTTTGACACACCATATCGGACAAGATCTTCCTTGTCGCTCTGTATAACACGATGAACCAGAACGTTTCAACCTTTCACGTAAATATTTCTCTGGTCAGCGAATCGAAAAGAACATACAGGAAGTAAGAAGATTCGACACCACCTAGCGGCTTCAAAGAGTGAAAATGTCACTAGAAGTACCAGGAACATCCTCGAAATCGAGGATTCACCGGGTAGCAACGAACGAACCAACACGATGATCTTTCGAAATTATACAATCGCCGAGCGTAGTATCTTCCTACCTTCTTCTCAAAAGGTCCTGACCGCTATTTCCATGATCCAAGTCCTTTAAAGCAGGATCAATCGAGGACGATCAACCGCGACAACGAAACCGGAGACGACAAAGACTCATATCGATACACGTAATCCCGAGCACAGAACCGACACAACGAGAAATAGTAGCAGCAAGCGTCCAACGAAAGTGGAAGAAAGACTTTGTAAGACTGGCGTCATGCCCGGTCTGATCGGTCCGCTTGTTCACCGACTCCTACAGTACCCGGCATGCACCGTGGTTCCTTGCTCGTCGACCTATCGTTTTGTATGTTTTGTGTACGCCTGGAGATCTGGCTGGCTTCGCCTCGACCACTCTGGTCTCTCTGTCTCTCTACTCCTTGGTTCAGCTTCGCCGGAACTCTGTGTACAACCCTTTACGTTCAGAAAATCGAATATTTTTATACACGGCATTAATCGAACTACAATATAGGTACTGCAACGCGTTGAAATTTATTAAATCGACGACTTCATATCGGGATTTCAAATAAAACGGAACAGAGAATTCCAAATATCTCTTTTTATTATATTTCAATCAACGAGTGGAGAAAGTTTTGGCCGGTGAAAAATTGCCACTTTTCAATCAATTTTTTGTATTTCATCGGATATCTTCAATCAAATAGAAAGCATTTTAAAACCTTTTTCTCGATCGATAGACGATGTACGGTGAATCGTTTCAAGGCAACCGAGATTTTCGATTCTTCCTGAACTCGAAAAGCTTCTTCTCTCCGCGTACACATCTTCAAACGCTATCAAGATTAAGACTTTCCCGAGTTTCGAGACTTTTAAAGGTTCTCGGGACTTCGAGGCTTTTAACGGTTCGAAGAATCGTCTCTCGCTGCTACCTCCGTTTTCGAGTGTCTTTCCAAAACGATCTTATTTCACGTAACGAGTACCTTAACCGGAAACTTGCACCAAAACTTTTCGGGAGATTTCAAGCTTCCTTTTATTCGTATACAAGTAAAATGGAAACTATTTCGATAAACAGTAACGGTTGTACTAGTTTACCCGAGTGAAAGTTACATTTCGTTCAATCCACCACAGTGGTACGCGTTCATATTTACGTATGTCCGTTGCTGCTAAAACTTACAAAACTGTTTGTTGATTTTTGTAGACATCAAATATTCGGTCGCTGTCCATCCTGCGCCACTCCATTTTTTCGAGATATTAATTCTGCTGGCTTAATAGGTACATTTTTAAAATAAAGACCGTTTATGGAGACGTAGAATACATTGTAGATTTTCGGAATCAAATTATTAGGAGGTCAACAACGTCCGCAAGGATGTCCTTCGACAAACAAGTTCGATCTTTTCGGAGGGTATCAATTTCGATCCACCTCTTGAAGGTAGCTAGAGAAAGGATGCTTAAAACCAAAGAGACGTTCCTTCGGTATTTAACAAAGGAAGTACAGATCGTCTAGACACGCTTTTCAAGACGGGATCCATTGTGAGGGCAGCTTAAGGTCCGTCTGCAGTTGGCTGGCACGGTGCCCTTGCTGACCGTCGCTGACCATCGCTGACCGTATGCAGGATCGACCCTGGCCCTCGGCTCTCTAATCCTCTTTCCTTCTCGACCCTCTGTTAGCCTGTTCTTGCCGTTCCCCTTTCTCTTCTTCTTCGGCTCGTGCTGTTCCTTTTCGACCATTCTCTGCATGGTGTAGGTAACGGCAGCAGGAGGACGACACTTGTGTCGTTACTATCTCGCTGGACTATATCCTGCCAGTTTCTAGATAAAGGAACGGCTCGAAAGGACTTGCTGAACACAAAACGCTGTTACGGAATTCTTCGGGTAGACGTTAGATTCGTGGAAAGGTTCGATTACGATGTTTCGATGTAATTGTGGACCTTTCTTCTTGCGAGATCGATATGGAACCGATTCGTGTATCTGTGCCAAGTTTACGTTCTGAACTAACGATGTACCCAGGCGCTTCGTACTTTATTATCATTGATATTGGGTTTCGAATATCAAAAGAATGAAGAATAAAATTTTCTCTCGCGAATATTTTCAAGACTAATTTGTCTGTGAAACTTTTGTTACTAAAGCTGACTGCAGGTCGTTCGATCAAAAAGCGTTTGTATTTCAAAACGCATAAAAGCGTGCTCCGACGAAAAGGATCCTAATAAAACAGTTGCAAACACCGAACGGTTTAAGTAAAAGAGTTTTTCCGAGTTCAGCACAGGTAAATTTTTCTCTTGTTTTCCCGTTGCACCTTCTAATTAAAATCAACCGTTGTAGCATTGTCGGTAGTACGACAATTGTAACAGAGTAGAAACGCAAGTCTTGAAACGCAATTACGTTGGGAGAAGCCCGCCGCCAGCGTAGAACAGTATTAATTGGAACTGATGAAATTTCCAACTCGCTCGAGGTCTATCTGCACACACGTTTGCAATAAAAGATGCGTATTACTTCTCTTTCCGTCTCTCTCGCCTCTCTCCTCGTCTCTTTCCCTTTCTCGCTCTCTCTCTCTAGCTCGTTTATGCTAATGAATTTCCGCGACAAGCAGGTCCGTGCCTGCCGCTAATGAAAATGCCTGGAAACTCAGCTTCAAACGGACGCGGTTGAATCGTCTGTCCGCTCCGTTCCGCCTCGCGGTTGGCCGTCGAGTCGAGAACATCGAACCAATAGTTGTGCAAAGGGAAACATGAACGTGTATTCGTAAATTTGAATACGATTTACAGATTCCTTCGAGCACGTACCTTGTTATTTTCCATTATGAACATCTTTTCTTGTAGGACACTTTGTTCGCGCCCTTTAATCTACTTCTTCTACTCGATGATACTTTTCTCTTTCTGCCAACGATCGAACTTACAACTCGAAGTACGTGATCAAACGAAAAGCAGCTTCTCTGCCTCTACCTTGTTGATGTCGTTAACAGTTTCGGCTTAGAACTAAGCACACAAAGCGTGATAGACTTCCCTAAGGAAAATCTACCACTCGCTAATGCATCAAAATTATCATGAATTATGTTTGGTTTGTACCAAACGCTTTACGACACAAGGGACAGTTTGGTGCATGGAGATATTACTCTTTGCTATTCAGCCTCTGGTGATCTAACGAATAGCAATGTAACGCGTAATCCAACGTGTGGCGATTTAAAGCACTCGTGACCTAATGCGTGCCAATTCGAAGAGTGATTTGACACGCGACGATTTCACGCTTTACTATTCCACGCGTTGCGATCTAATTCGAGGTCACATAACATAAAGTAGCAATTTAACGATGCATAGTGCGTAGTAACTCTGGAATATTACAGTGAGCTTACGATTTACGTTCTACCTTTTAGGGAAGTTGTTGAAAAAATTGTAAAAATTTACGTTTTCTATTTTAATCTTTAAACATCACACCAGTTACTAGAAAAACAAATTGTTAGGAAATAATTGTTAGGGAATAATTCGGAATCAACTACCGGTCGCAACGAGGTGACCAACTATCAGCTTCCGCGGCTAAAAGAAGTTAGCCTAACGGAAAAGCGAGAACAGCGACGAATGAATTTGTTCAGTGCCGATCATCTCGAATGGAACGCTGCACTTCGTTCGCAATTAATCTCGTTAGAGCGATGGGTGTCGTGGGTACGAACTTGCCAGCTCGCCCGGGGAAACGTATCAATTAATTGGACTAATGGAATTTACATGCTAGGACGATAATGCGGACTACAAAACACTCGCAAAAAAAACACTCGCAAATCGTATGTGAACGTGCTTGCTTGCTTCTGCTTGTAAAGTGACACTAATACCGTGTACGTTTCTGTGTGCATACATACAGTCGCTCGCAAAAGTTGTACATCCTCCGAAAAGTATTCGTTTCGATAAAGCGAACGATATCCTATGCTAGCGCGTCGAATGTCCACAAAAATTATTTTGAAAGAAGCGTAAAACAAAAGAAATTTTGTTGTAAATCATTTATTCGAATTGAGATGACTTTTGGCGGAGTGTACGATGATTTTCGAGAGCGACTCTAAACGAAGAGTAAAGAAATAAACAGGTGAGGGAAAAGGTAGGGATAGTGTGAGAAAAAAGCGGCTAATCAGCTGAAGCCGAGTCGGTTCACGTTAGATTCCTTTCTCTTTCCATGCTTCGCCATGCCAATCAACTCGAAGGTTTCCGTTGCGCTAAACACTGTCTTTCACTCACCCTTTTATGCAGCAATTCGTTGCACTCCCATACACGTTGATTCTGCCTCGCAGCTGTACCCCCGCCACGATCCACTTCCCTACCGATCGGGCTGACCATGTTCCTTTCAACTGTGAACCAGACAACGATGATAGGCTTCGAAATTCTTCGAAAAATAATAGGAGATTTTAGTTGGTTTCATCGAATGTCGAGAATTTTTGCTTTTATCAAAACTCGCAGCGAAGCCTTTGAACTATGAAGCTAAGGATGAGAATCAGCTATCTTAAGAATTTTTCTTGTCATCGAATTTCATGAGTACAATCTCTGGAAATAATTAAATGACCACGAGTATCGATTAAACAAGCTTTCTCGTTGACACCTGTCAAGAACAGAGTTTGAAACAATGTAATTATTAGAATTGCGGTTCGCGTTGTGTACGGATGGAAATAAATCTTATGTTGCATTGAAATTGAATATCTTGCGGTCTCTTGATATTACTCTATCGTCGAAGCAATTACATTTCCTATTTTATTGTTTCTGTTAGAAATCGCGTCGACAGATGGAGAAATATTTTTTGAATGGAACTTCAATGACATTCGTTGATATCGTCAAACGTGGAATCAGTAAGTTGTGGAAACGTAGAAACTTGATAGAGAAGTGCTTTGTATGTTTCTCAAGAAAAGAGAAGCATCGTGGAAATATCAGAGATAAGATATGAGATTAACTTTCTACTTAATCGCACGGGAAATAGTGTACTCTATGATCTCCTAAAACCGAGCTGGATAGAAATGTAGGAAACGGTACTTAATATTCGCAGCACTGACCCAGACAAGAATCTGGTATGAAGCAAATATTGGCTCGATATCGCTTAACCGCTATTCAGATTCGAGCATCGGCTATCCCCGCTAATGTTTGTTCAATAATGTATTCTCTTCCCGTTATCATGATATTACGATAAGTATTACAATGTAACCAATACAGACTGCATACAACGTGATTCGAGGATGAATTCATAATCCGTGAAATTTGTATCCTGCTAATAAAATCGAGGTTTATCGCTAAATCTCTGCAAAGTATCTACTCTTTATTGTGTCCTCAGAACTTTGTACCTAATTATAAAGTAGTTATAACGGTAGTCGAGTTACGAGAAAGTTGTGTTATTAATTTTATACCAGGTATCAACTGCTTAAGGACTATCTCTGTAATATTACGTCCGAGAAACGATATTCCCATCATTCGCGCAATAATGATACATCGATAGTAGTACGTATCGCGTTACATTTATTTTATATGAGATAATTTCTGAAATTTGGGTTATACAGGATGTTTCAAAAACAATGTAAGCCATAATACAGAAGACATAGAAAGAGAAATAGTAAATAGAAAATGTATACTTACTTGGACTATGAATTCGTATATCGCTGTCACTAGGACTGGAAACTCGATGGTCGTTCAAAGAAACAACCCTTAAGGCTCCTGCTGGACTGATCAATCGTTGAGTGGAATGACCCCCGGGAGACGTTAACCTCAGATCTTTTCCTTCGTTGCTGTTTATCCTGCGATTTAAGTATTAAGATATTTCCGTCTGTTTTAACTTTCTCACTTTTATGGATTCTGACAACGAACTCTTCAAGCTTATAAAAATTCAAATAACCAATTTCGGAAAAAAAACATGAAAACTGAAGATGAACGAATAGAATAGAATGTTGCTCGTACATCATAGAATTGGTTCCAATATCGCCGCTGCTGGCTGCTCGCAAGAGTTGCGAATTTACAGCCATATCGTTCTCCGATTGTCTGACTGATTGAGGGGTGGATTGTTGAAGAGGCAACGGTTGTCTGTGCGAAGCGTTATTTCTTGACAATGGGAGGGTGGACACCGTGGTCGGTGGTTGCGTTTGTGTTCTCTGAACCAACTGCGACGTGCTGACGGCTCTCGGTGGAAGCGGATCCCTGCCAATCACTGATCCTGATCCGGACGCTATAAATCAAACGATTCATGGGATTAAATGTCGATCTTGCATCTTCAATATTTATACCAAAATATTTGCAGAAGCATATAAAATATTTTCGTTTCTTATTTCTAATTGTATCAGAGTCTCGCTATATAGCCTCGAACGAGATTGTGGGAGCAAGATAAATGAAGGAAAGAATCAGTTTCTAATTCCAGATAAAATACACTGGATAAATTGAAAATAATTTAACGTAGTTAAACATTATTTACGAATTCTGAGTACAATTGCTTCAGCCGTCAGATAAATTGCGAGAGAATTAATAGCTTCCATCAGTTCCCATTACGGGTTGATTTCGACTTTTCTTGGAAACTGGAGAGAAACGTTGGATACGAATAGCGAACGACACTTTCGATATTTATGGTCGCATCGAAATGGCACGTTGCATCTGCAATAGCCAATCTTTGTTTCTTGGAAAAAACGATGCAATAGCGGGAACTTTCACTGCAGGAATTTCCTGCTCGCACTTTGCACTCGTCGCACCTTTATTTATTAGACGTACAGAGCGCTTTGAACAGACTCATCTTTACAATAACCCGTTGGCAGTTTTACATTTCATTAAAATGTAATTTATTTCGAGGTGGGTCGAGATAATACGAAAGCAAATACCGAAGAGAAATCTAAAGGTATTTAGTCGAAATTTGGTCGGTGCATACGAGCTAAGCTTCCAGGTGAATTTTGTAATTAAATTGTAACAAATTACCGCTTAAAACGTAGAATAATAGATACAAGAAAATAATTCGATCCGAACAATAAATTGTTCCCGCAGGGTATTCGTATTTTTAGTCCGTAACATCGTTAAAATTTAATTCCACGAATGCCCGCCAGTGAAAATTCCAAAACGACTTATTCATATAATTGGACACAAAAGCGGGAAATATCGGAATTATTTAAACGTTAAATATTTCGACGAAACATTTTCGTTCTTACTAGTTCGACGATATCATGTTACTTTTAGAATTTACATGCGATTTTCTCACGTGATTCATTCGTTTCTTTCAAGAACGCGATTCACTCATTTTCCACTCGATTAAACGGATTCGCTGGTAGCGCAATTTAAAACTAATTAGCGTTAATTAGAGGTACTTCGGGAGAAAGGTCGTTTTAAATAAATGTAACAATTTCCTCGTACAAAGTGTGCTCCAAGTCATTTTTTATTTAAGTCTTCGTCCAGACAATTATGTACTTTCACGGTATCAGAAAAATGAAATTTTTTCGCGCGTTTTGAACGATATCGATGAAATCGACGGAAAAATTGTTCACGTTCCGCTTCTCTGCATCGTTCGAATACCATCGTATTTTCGGGGACAAAATTCCTCGCATTGTTCGCGTTAACAGACGCTCGTTGTTCGCAAAAATAGCGTACTGGATTCAATTACTTTAGCCCGTTGTCGCATCCTCTGACACTGCAGGTCTTTGGAATTTCAAACCGGAACTGCAATTGCGTATTGTTGATGGGAAGTTAAACGTAGTTTCTTTCATTACTTTCCATTTTTTCTATTTTTCGTCGTTATGCTACGGTAAACAAAATGCCGATGGCAAAAATACTCATTGTTACCTACGCTGACTGGTAGCACGAAATATTTCTCTACATCTCTTTAAAATAATAATTCAGTTTAACGCGTTCACTGTTACAGCGAAAACAAATATGTGCAGTCACGCATACTATGACACAGGTTATTAAGAACACGGGTATCTAATCTTCCGATTTCATCTTTTAATCCGTTAGCCTATGTCATTGTCGGAACATTAAGAGTCCGCTTGTTTTTCCTGCAAGTAATTAATTTAACTGGATTTGTAGTACCGGTCACCGTTGACCACAATGGCAACGCATTAAAGTTTAAAAAATAAAGTGAGTCTAAACGGTAAATTGTATTGTTATGTACAGCGTGTGCGGAACACGAACGAAAGAGGGCAGGTCAAAGGACAAAACGATCATATCCGTTAACCGGTGTCCGACTAAACAGATTCGTGCTTCTTATGTAACCTTAGGTACGCGAGGATGGCCTAGTTTCGAAGATTGGTTTAATTGCGCGCGATAAATTGTCCCTTCTATGTGTCTGCAGTTGGGTCTGTTCCGCAACGAGGCGGTTCCTGTGGTAATTCCTCTCAGACGGTCGCTTCCGTTCTATATCGTTCCGTGCCGTTCCCATGTCCGCAAAACATCCGGTTGCTCATTATGGCCGCACGCCACCGCTAACAGCCCAGGCCCGCCACCGTGAGATTCAATTATGCCCTCCGACGCTCGAGTCCTCTTTGCGCCGCGCACAAGCCGCGCCAACACGCGCCAAAACGCGCCAATGTTCCGTATGCTCCGACACGCGCGTCCATGCCGAAAGATCTTCCTGGAATTCCGAACGGCCGCTTCGTTTCTTCCGAACATTCTTGCCAACATTCGATGAACAATGCATTCGAGAGAGAACGGTTCTGCAGCTACCAGCATGAAGCTGGCATGTTTCGAGTTTCCGAACATGTTCGCCGAAATTACCGAGTAGCGAGCAGTAATCACCGATTATAAATTGTCCTAGGTTAAATTATACCTTTATATCGCTCCTGAGTTAGGAGCAATTGATAGACAAAGTTTACTTATCCAAAAGAAATGGTTAGTCTTTGGTTATTATGACTGACAGGAAAGAGTCGTAAATGTACGAGTTTAAGTTTGAAATTTATAGAACAGTCGGAAGTTCTTCATTTTCCGAATATACAAGTAAAAAGATTGCACCAATAATGCTGACGGTAATCCCACAGGCACTCGACGCATTGGATCCACTTCGCTTCTAAATGCACTTTGTGGAATTTATGTGATTCGAAATCTGAGCTCGTATAGTTTAGGTAATGAATATCCAGCAGCAGCACCGGTGAAATAATTGGAGTAGCCATTTATCGTTACTTGTGTTCCTCCATTCGTTCGTATCCTCTCTCGGATAGACAGGGAGTGGCGTTAAAATTTTCATCGATGTAAAAAAATGTGATCCATTTCGAGAAACAAGCTATGGAAGAACTTTTCGGTGAAAGGAACGAAAGAGATTTTTTCTTTAAATGACCATCGCGCCAAACGAATATTCCCTCGTGAAGAGAAGCTCCATTGTGCGTCGGGAAATCTCGTCGGAAAAGAAAGAAAGAAAGGGGAAAAAATTTGAGCCGAACTGGACAAAGGGGGGGACGAACCACAGACAAATCACGAACTTTTCCGACCGTATCGAAGATGCACTTGAAAAACTCAATTTCCTCTACTGTTGTTAGGAAATCATATTAAAACTCCTCTTAGACTTCGAGTTATTGGCCTCTACTTCGGACGGTACTCGAAACTTTCTTCCTTCTTTGCAAAAAAATGGGAACACTTCTAAAGGGGAAAGCCATGGGTAGACAATGGTCATGAATTATTTACACGTTTTTTATTGAAAAAGTTCAAAAACTGACCGATTAAGAGTTAAGCCGTTTAAATATTCGTTTAAGGTGTTTACGAAAACGCAGATAAGCTCTGATTTAGAGGTACCTAAAGGTCCTGTACAAAATTTGGAGAAATCCGAAGAAACGTCGAGAACGTCTCGGGTACCTAAAGATGCTAATAACGACAAATAGGTTAATACACGAGGTAATAAACTATCAAATTAATGAGCCTTTTGATCTTCGAGTAATCAATTAGATAGGATAATCATCTCGGCGTAACTTTGGCAGAAGTCAACGTTGGAGCACCATTCATCCAGTACCATGACATTTCTATTCCGTGTAAACACCGTTAAGAGGAAATTGTCTACGCCATGGAAGCAGATGCATCAACACGGAATACGTTTAATAGTGGAGCAGTCTCGTGACACGTGCATCGCGTTCGTTCGACGTGGAATGCATGACGATGCATCTGCAACCACGATTCGCTTCACCGTCGGATAATTTCGTCGTTTTTTTCACTTCCAACGTTCCTTTTGCCACTTCGCTATTTCGTCGCTTTTTGACACTCGCTCACCTTCTGTCCCGATTTTTCCCGCGAACAAAATGTCGTTATATTTGATTGAACAATCTAAACCTTCCGTATACTCTTGGACCGGAACGAAACGGAGGATATTTTCATCGTATCGCATACGATCTTTTTCGATAAAAATATACAGGCGAAATTATTTATTTCTGAACGCGTGACATTTTTATCCTCGCTGGAATTCGTCCGAAATATGTTTTCTCTTCGCGAAAGAATTCCCAAGATGTTTTTTGAATAGACAAAAAGCAAAAGATGAGTTGGATAAAATGGAAGGTATTAAATTAACTTATTTGAAGTCTTTTTTTAGATCGTATTATTCGGAGATTTACAACAATTAAAGTACGCTCCAACGTCACAAAAGCAAATATTGCTGAATTCCCGGATGTCTGTATCCCTGGACTTTTATGTTCCTAGTTAGAATAAAATGAAAAAGAATAAATCGTAAAAAGTGAAAAACGAAACAAGTCTGGATAAAATGTAATCTTCGTGGTAGTTAGTTTTTTCATTGGTTCGGTGACACGGATGCGCATATTTTTTGATTCGTCCATCGCGTATTTTTCCACCGATATTTCGATATAGCCGTCTGAGATTGGTTTGCATTTGGTATTGCCTCGCATTCGACGCCACGTTTTATTAATGCCAATACGTTCTCTTTGATCAAAGCTCCGGGTTACGTTATTCATCGATTCGAATTTTTATACTGTCTACTTCGAAAATAAAGCTTCCATTTTCAATTTGTATTTTTATGTATAGAATCGATACGGGCGCAAAACAAACAACGCAAAATGTACCAAAAAATTTCACGGACTATTTCGTGTCGCGAAGCATAGAGTGTTCTAACAAAAATTTTCGCGGTGCATTACCAGCAGGAAGAACCGATTGCATCGAGGATTTACGTCGATCACAGCTGTCGCATGTGGAATTCGGTCGAAATATCGGAAAGATGACTTTGCGTCACGGATGTCCACCATTTGCATGGATTTATCCGGAACGCGT